AAAAGAATATTGAATTGTAACTTTATTTGAAATAACATGGTTGGAAATAAACTCAATGTCCAATAATAGGAAAATGGCAAAGAAATTTAGACTTGAAGTACTGAAGCCACCAAGGAAAAAGTTTCTGAAGAATATTAGTAGAGCAGTAAGCAAACAGAAAGTATGTTCGTGGGGGCGGGGCAGCCTAGTAACAGGCCTGTATGGTCCTGTACAGGTTTTTCTATAAGCTTTCAACCAAAAATTTGAAAGTAGTATCTTTGGGTAGTAGAGTAACTGGTATTTTAGTTTTTTTCTTTACATTTTTTATTTCTGAAATGTGCAGTGTGGATTTTTATAATTTCAAAGACATTTTTCAGAGTATGCATTGAATAGGAAAATGAGAAGATGTTAGGAGAATTGTGTTAAAAGCATGCTAAACAATGTCCATGAAAAATGATATTCCTAAGAAAGAAACAACCGAAAAAGATCTGCATCTGCTTCCCTCTGCCCGGCGTGGAGGAAACAGCCTGATGGTAGAGACGCCTCACAGTGGCCGCCGAGCCCAGGCCTCGGCAGCAGGCTCCTGCATTCGGCCCCCTCTGAGCAGCGGCCTGGACGGCCCTGCCTTCCCGCCTGGAACTTTTCTTCTGAGAAGCAGCACCACCTGAGTAACAAGAACTGGCTGTGCAAAGGCCCACAGCTGCATCCTCCTCAATGTGAAGCCAGCCTGTGGGCCCCTCCACCCAGCCTGCCTCTCCCGCGCCCATCGCTGGGACCTCCAGCCGCAGCTGGGGCTTTGGGCCATTGTGGCGTCTGGGCCGGGGTGGCGTCTGGGCCCGGACCCAAAGGGTTTGAATGTGTCTCAGAAAGGAGGTTATGGAGGAAGGGCCCCCTCTTCCCAGTCGTTCACAGTCTCGAACAGGAGTGGGGTGCCCCAGAAGGCACGCTTGTCCCCCACACCCCTGCCAGTATCCAGGGACCGGGACCCCCCGCCTGGGCTCTGTGTTCTGCTGGACAGCGAGGGCTTTTACGGGCACTCTCACCTTCAGTGAGGGCCACCAACTTGCAGGAATCATGAGATGATTGTCTTTCCTTGTATTTTGAAGACTCTTTAAATGAGCCTTACAGAGCAGCAAACTTTTTTTTAATCATGTTGGTGGTTTCTAAAAAATGTCAAAGACTCAGCAGATTGCTTTGTTCAAAACATTCAAAGAGAAACATAGTTTCCCCTGTAATTTGCTCTTATTATCTTTCTAAATTGAAAAGAAAGGTCCGACAGGGTGAAACCAGCTCCACGAGAGATACAAGCTGGATCGTGCTGTCCTTCCTTTTGTCCTTATCTCCCCAGCACCAAGCCGCCGCTTCCCAGGATGGGCCAGCCGAGGACAGGCACTCAAGGCCACCCCTGCAGGGAACCAGGGCTGCCGGGGGCTGTGTCTCTCCTTAAACGCCCCTGCATGGGGAACTTGAACCATTACGGTGGCCTGAAGTGCTGTTGAACCTGCTAAGGCCATTTGTATGTAGAACCCAAACCAAAAAGCGACCTCACACCCGGGCACTCTGGCGGAACCACAGCCGCCCCGTCTCGGAAGGCCCAGCGGCCAGGCTCAGCCATCAGGCAGCTAATGCGCATGCAGCTGGCGTTGGAAAGGCACGGGAGACATCTGTCCTCTCAGCAGAGCGGCTGCAGGTTATCTTAGCATGCTCACGCTACAAGTTCCCTCACGGTTTCCGAAGCTTTGAGTGACCGAAGGTCGAACCGATCATGCCAGTAGCAAAGCATTGCTGTATTTGTGTAATTATATTGTCATAAATTTGGAAGTTTTCAAAAACCAGTTTTTGGGTAGGCAGTCATATCCATAGCTTAGCCATCTGTGAAGCAGCCTCTCCCTGCTTCAGTTCCTTCCTGTGAGGCGGCTGCCGCGGCCCCAGCCTGCAGGGAGGTCCGGGCCAGGCTGCGCCGCCGTGGCCCCTGCCGCCTGCAGGACCCGGGAGGCTCAGTATCTCCTCTGTGCTGCCTCGCCTGGCGGCCTCACGGTCTCCACTGCGGGGGCCCAGGGCACAGCAGAATTCTCTTAGGAACCAATTTGTTTGTCCTCACTATCAATCCCCAAGACCAGAAGTATGGTTCGGAGGGCCCTCACCTCTCCCTACAGGGGACAGGGGACAGGGGACAGATCCATGCAGGGGGGAAAGCAGGGCCTCCCATTTAGCCGCCTGCGCCAGCTCTGCCCTGCTCTGCCCATGGCCCCATGTGCTGGGATGAGATATTCCCCTCCCGCTCCCGGCGTAAGGCGGACTAGTGTTAGTGCCTGACTCAGGGCTCTCGGGGGGAGCAAAGGGGCAAAGTCCCTTAGAGCCTGGCACACGGCTGGCTATTAGCATGTAACGGGATTACCCTCGAGCCAGGGTGCCTGACCTTGCACTCCCCAGAAGCAAGTTTTTTATGATGCCAAGCCACTAAAATTATGAGTTTGAATTACTTCTCTGATGCACTTGACTTCACGGGTACATTCCCAATTCCTAAGCTGCCTCTGCTTCCCAGGTGCCTAACTGTCCCAAACAACCTCCTCCTTTTAATGGCCCCCGCCCTCGGCTCTCCCTCACGGTTGCACAAATGGTTGCAGGTTATATGCAGGCTTTTGATCAGTTCCCACCCTCCAAAGAGCACAAAGCCACCTGCAGCATCTCTTCAGTTCCAGCCTTGTCACAGAGGTCACTGGTTCCCCCAGTCAGCTCCACGTGGGAGCCAGTGCACCCGGGGTTCAGGTAGCACGCGGCCCTTGCGGAGCGCCTCCTGTATGCAGCGCTGAGCTAACCGCAGGGCACCAAATCTGGGCTGTAGGGGCACTGAGTCGCCTGGGTGATTTGATGTTTCTCCAAAAACCTCTGCACGAGACCTGATGCATGAGCAGGGAGTGCATTGTCGTGATGAAGCCGCCAGTCACCAGCCGCCCACGGCTGCGGCCTTCTGCACCATCCGAATAGTTTCCGCGGGGGAATGTTGAAGCTCATCACAAAATTTGATGCATATTTGTTGTTCTACTTGTTCAGTCATTTTGAACGCAATGGCCACACAGTTTACATGCTCACTCAACGGCATCTACTGCCCCCGCTGACTAGTACTAACTAGCAAAGCCGTCATTGTTCACGCATATGCTTTCCAGTCCACTCTCCTTGGCTGCCAGGTGACATCGATGTCACACAAACTATTCTCATTATACAAACAATGGCAGGACTTATCCTAGACAGATCTCATATATCCTTCGGTGAGGATTTTAAAACAATATTGTATATAGAAGCAACACTAGAAGGCCATACAAGCCACAGAATCTTTCCATCACCTTCCTCCCAGATTGGGGAAAAGCTGCAACTGCCAGGAGGATTGAGTGGATTGTCAAAAATGTATCGAATCAGCGATATAAATTAAGAAACTTATGCCACAGATGAATTTGTATTACAGCAGTGTGCATTAATAGCCTTTTCAGATAATTATGGGTATTCTTCTTTGATACTACACAGAAACTTGACATGTGGTAATTCATAAAGCCTAGTTGCTATGTGAAATCTGAATCCACAGCAATGAATTTTTCATATCAAAGAAAAATAACTGGGGGAAGTGGCTTGAAGAAGCGAATAGATTACACCGCCCTTCCATACACCACTACAGACCCATGTGGGGAGGGTCTTTCTCTTTGTCTTTATTCAACTACTTTCATCAGCGAATATTCTATTACATTAAAATATTTATTTTTGGCGAGTTTTCTGAAGGCTAGATAATAGCAAGATTGTTCCTCTACATAGATGGATAGAGGACAGATGATACAGGGAGAGATATCATGGTAAAATGATGAAGACTGAATGTCATTACTTCACTATGAAATTCTGTAAGCTTCTCCAAACCTGGCGTGGGAGGGGAGGGACCGAAACAATGACAGCGGTTAAATGCAACCGCAGTGACAGTAACAGTAGGAGAAGGCTCTGACCCTGTGTCACTTGCAGAACCATGGGAACCTGGCCTCGAAAACCTCCTTTTAGGATCGAGAAGCACCCGCACTGTCTCCTAGACCCTTCGCCGACTAGGTCTCCCGGTCGCCTCCCAGCAGCCTCCCTCCTCTGTTGCTGCGGCTGGCAGTGGCCTCCTGGGGCCCAGGTCCCCGCTCTCGCGCCATCTCCCCCTCCCTGGACCGCACACACTCTCTGCCCGTCACCTTCCGCACCTCAGGCGAGAGTGGGGAGAAGTGAGGGGTCTCACACACAGGTGGTGGAGGGTAAGCTCCCAAGACTTAGTGGAGTTAATTATCCATATATTTTCATATATATCGTTTCCACATCTGGGTTTGTTCTGTGTGCAAGTCCATAAGAGGGCATCTATGAGGATAACGTCACAGCATTACTTGTGTTAGCTAGAAGTGACAGGAAACCTTGGTTGGTATCTGTCCCTAAGGAAGTGGAAAGCTGGAATGTGTGATGAGTTGCATGCAATGGAACAGAATCCAGCAATGAGAAGGGGTTAACTATTTTTATATCTAGCGATGTGGATAGATCTTAGAAATACAGAACAAATTCTATAGGGCAAAACAATTTATGTACCAAAACGCACACAGAGAAAGTGGCAATATGCTATTTCTCAGGGCTGTTGTGTCCGGTGCCAAAGGACATGCGCTGAACACATGGCAGGACCATCTCCGGCGGGAGCGAAGGGGAAAGAGGGACGGAGCGCAGTGAGGAGGCGTCGCCTAGACTCACAGCGAGGGTGGGATCTGCAGGCTGTGTCTTTGGAGCCAGGTTGCTCCTGGAGAACAGCATGTTTGTCCTCATTTGGGGGAGGAGTTAAGGAATGTTCCCAGTAAAAGTATGCACGGGTTTTAAAAGAGATTCTAGGTAAAGTTGCGTGGCCTTATGTAGAAACAGATGGATATTTGATTAGGATAAATTCTTGCTTTAAATATTGAGTTGGCCACAAAGTTCGCTCGGTTCTAAAGTAAACATAAAACACATTTTTCATTTTCACCAATAACTTTATTGAACATATTCACTATTTTGTTCCACTACCTTCAGCCATATTTCAGTCCATTTCATAATTCCATCATCCCAAAACTTATTCTCTTTTTCAGCAAAGAATTTTTCCAGGGGCCTTTTGCAGTCTTCCAGGGAACTGAAATTTTTCTCCATTAAGAGAATGGTGTAAAGACCGAAATAAATGGAAATCAGGAGGTGCAGTGTCTGGTGAATATGGCAGATAAATCAGAACTTCCCAGCCAGGCTGTAACAGATTTTGCCTGGTCATCAAAGAAACATGCGGTCCTCCCTTATCCTGATGGAAGATTATGCGTTTTCTGTTGATTACTTCCATGTGCTTTTCGTTGAGCGCTGCTTTCAGTTGGTCTAATTGGGAGCAGTACTTGTTGGAATGAATCGTTCGGTTTTCCAGAAGGAGCTCCTAATAGAGGACTCCCTCCCAATCCCACTACATACACATCACTTTCTTTGGATGAAGATCGGCCTTTGTGTGGTTGGTGGTGGTTCTATTTCACTCGTCCCACGATCTCTTCTGTTCCGCATTATTGTAAGTAAAGTATCCACTCTTCATCACCTGTAACAATTTGTTTTAAAAACAGAACGTCTTTGTTATAAGTAGAGAATCGCATGAGGAAATACTGTCAAGAAGGTTTTTTTCATTTAACTTATGTGGAACTCAAACATCAAAATAATTAACATAACCAAACCGGTGCAAATGATTTTCAAAGATTGGATATTTTGAGTATGTTGGCTATCTCCCACATGATAGAACATTGATTGTTCTCATTAAGTCTCAGTTGGATCGTTATCAACTTCAGCTGGTTTACCCACGTTGCTTGTTCTCATTAAGTCTCGACTGGATTGCTATCAACTTCAGCTCGTCTACCAGGCTGTAGAGCATGATCCAGCAAGAAATCTCCAGCACAGAACTTTGCAAACCACTTTTGACACATTCGATCAGTCACAGTACCTTCTCCATACACTACATGCATCTTTTTTTTGCATTTCAGTTGCATTTTTACTTTTAAAATAAAAAAGCATGATATGCCGAAAATGTTTTCTTCCCTCTTCAATACTGAAATGGCTGCACAAAAATTCACCAATTTTGATAAATTTTCTTTAAATTGTGCTGGTATGGCAGCTGTGACAATACAATCTCACAAAATTGTTTCAAATGAAGCTAAAGATAACTAAGTGCTACAAGAGCCAGCTTATGGAAAAACAAGTGTTTTTGGCCAACTCAATATTTCTCCCTCAAAAGTGTTTGAAATTATTCTGAAATTAGCCTCCAGCCATCAGTCTAGGAGTGGAAATGTGGTTATTTAACATTCAAAGAGAATTGCTCTGTAAATCTGGAAAATAGATACTCCGTCAAAAGTTTGCCTTTTGTTGAGTTTTGTGTAATCTACCAGGCAGTGATTTTTTAAAAACATCAGTATGTTTTGTTCTGACAATATTATCTCACTGTGTGTACTCATTGACTAAACCTTTTATTCATCAATAACAATTTTCACAATCATTAATTTCTGTGTGGACAATAAACCACAAATTATAGCTTGTAGATGCCGTTCTTTCATGCTTCACACACTGCATTAGTCATTTCCTTTGTTCTTGGTATTAATCCTGGGCTCTTTAATAGCGTCTTTTAAGTATTAGGTCATTTCTGTACCTATTGTACTTAGTAAAACATAGCAATGTGAACTATGTCATCAAATGAAGGTTGAATTCTATGGATAATAATATTCAAAGGGCACTACTTTTCTATAGCTCAACCTCATTTAGAAGCTTTCACGGACATCTCTCTTGGTTTAAAAAAGACAGTGTTCAATATACGTAACCACCTTTTCTATGAATCTTTCACACTTTAGGAATGATTTTTTATTATTAACATTTTAAACACTATCCTTTAATTCACAGTTAAATGGCTCTATTTTATATATGTTTGCATGTGTCTCTTATTGTTTCTGGACTTTGAGATTTCTTTATTCAAGACTTCATGTTCTTTCCAACTTACGGAAAAGTGGGTCATTATAGAGATGTTCTGAGCATATTCATGTTCTTCTGTCCCATGTTTTTCATGCCTTGGCAACATAACACATGACAATATTTGTAAGGCGCCCGGAGAAAGCCTGTGCGTGTTCTTGTAGCGGAAGGCAGCTGTCCCGCCAGGTAGGCGCCACCCACAGGTCCCCGCCCCACCCCGGAGCGGATGGGGTGCTATCCATACACCCTTGACAACTACGCGTGCTTCACCAACCCCAATGGGAAGCTCTGAATTAACGCTCTGGAATTTTGGGGAGGGGGGAATGACTTTTCCATCTAGAGGTAAGATTAATTCTAGAACTTAATGAGACCTCCTGTTCTATAACGGATTTAGAAGGAGTCAAGGGCACTCTTCCAAGAGCAGGGAAGACTCGGACGATCTCTGGAGATTTTCTCACAGCGTCCTATCATCACCACTGGGAGGAGGAGCAGCGGCAGCAGACACGGTTTATACTGGAATCGTGAAATCAGTGTGTCTGGATCGACCAGCATGTTAGGGGCGCCAGTCGTCGGGCCCGCGTCGGGAGGTGACAGGCCAGCCGGAGAGGACACCTGGGAGAGACTGCGGGCCGGCGACCGGAGACAGCACTGGAGGGGAGACAAGAGACCGTTCGAGAGCCACGAACTACACACCGCTCAGACCGCCTCCTCAGGGCCACGGTAGCTGGACTGGACTCCGAGTGGGTGCCGGCTGGGCCGCCTGCGCTTGTCCTTGTGAGGTACGTGGCCGAAGGGAGGGGGTCGAACCTCTTTACCGAACAAGTGTGAGGGATTCTGAAATAACGAAGTCACACTGAATGCTCCTCTCTGAGAGCTTTCACGTGCTGGCATTATTCGCTCCACGCTTCGGGGAGGAACCTGCAACGTACCCCTTCCTCAACGCGCCGGCCCACGCACACCTTTCCGCCAAACACGCACCGCCGCTGCCGGCCCGAGCGCCGCGCTCCCGCCAAGGCGCGCAGCCGGGGCGCCGGCTCCCACTCCGGAGACCGCGAGACGCTGGGCGGTAGCCGCCCGGTCTTAATCGGGTTCAGCACAAGTGTTTTTTCTTTGTTTCCCTTTACTTCGTCTTCTGTCTCTAGTCAGTAGCTTTAAGAGGGAAAAGCAGTCCTTCAGCAAAATGTTTGAAAAACACTGAACGATTTCATTCCCTTTAAACTGCAACGGAGGAACCTGTGAAACAGAAAGGCCGCCGGCTCCACCCAGGCCCTGAGAGAAGCGCCACACACGCAGCTTCCGGAGCCGCGTGCGTTGCAGCTTCCGGCGGAGACGCGGCGCGGAGTCGTCCCCTCGGAGTCTGGGTTCCAACCTGAGCAAGCTAACGGTCCTCTTTCCAGTTCGGTTTTGTTGGTGAGTTCCACAGGTCTCAAGTAACGAACACCAATATATCAGAGAGGTGTTTTTCATTTTAAAATAAGGATGTGTCTGTAATGCTGTATTTATATAATACATACACATATAACTTTATAAACTTTACATGTTTATAAGGTATATTTCACTGATTTTCTCCTAAAGTTTTGAGGCTATGCCAAGATACCCAAGAGTTGTATTCTAAAACACAATCAAAAATCATTTGACACAATTTTCAGCCTAGCTAAATTCCAAATTTATCCTTGGATTTCACTGCAGTACAATCCCAAAAATTAATTTGACACATGCACTATAATCCCTCTGCTGTCCCCAAGAATGCGGCATCCTTCATGGAAGAGTCTTGATGTCATCATGTAATAAATGTGCTGTTCCACGCCAGTAGAGACAGAAATCATACAGTGCTTGCAATAAATAGAAACTGTTTTACATAGCATCTCGGTGAGGCAAGCCTGGGTTATATCCTTGTAACAGAGCAAGAAAGTAAGCTGCAGAGGCCTGCTCAGACTTGCCTTGGCCAAGTCGCAGAGTCACCGGTCACGCTGCTGGGTGGGCATTTCCAGTTTGTGGAGCGTGTGACAATACAGTAATGGTCTCTTCTTTTGCATTTAGAATGAAGGCATATTTGAGATATATTCGGTTCTAAATTTTGTTTCTGTATTTCATAGAACATGAATAAAGGATATGACTTAGTAATATAAGTTGAATTTATCAGAATTCAGAACTCACTTTGCTTTGTTCCTTTAATTAATTAGTGTTACTGTAAATAGTCCCTTTTGAGGACATATGAATTTACCAGCAATTGAACAATCACAAGAAAACTTGCTCTTCCAAAAAGAAAGGGGAAAGTTCAACACGGAACAAATATTTACTGAGCAACAGCAATGTTCCAGGGTGTGAGACATGATGAACGTGGCAGCGAGGCCACGGCTTTGATAGGTGACCGTAGGTGGGGACAAGGTAAGCAAGTCACTTCAGAGAGTGAAAAATAAAAAACCGAAAAATGTTAGCTATAAAAATAAAACGACAGAGCGATGACACACACAGTGGCAGGAGAAAGGCAGGCCCCTTCTGAAGTGCAGCCCGGCGTGAAGGCACCACACGCAGCTGGCGTCTGCGCCGGGAGCGACCTGGTGAGGGTAGGCGAGTCTCGCAGACACTGGGGAGGGTCCTGCCAAGGAACGGGACCAAGGGCAGTGTCTTTTGTGCCTGAGGGTCCAACAGAAAGGAGTGTGGCTGTGTCTCTCGCGGGGGAGTGGGAGCAGGGGGGTTGGACGTTGGTGCGCTGGGAGGGGGTCAGGGACGGGTAGGCAGGCCAGATGGGGCGGGTTCTGCAGGCTGTGGGAGAGTCTGGTCTCTATTCTTGGCCTCGTGGGAAACTTCTGGAGGATTTTAAGTCAAGGAGTCATATACAATTTACAGCTTTAAAAGAGGGGAGCAGTGAAGAAGGGAAGCCAACGAGGTGAGCGAGGGGGTAGTTTGCACCTGGGCTGTGCACACGGTGGGAGGCGGTTTTGTCAGGGGAAGGGTTTGGGCGTGGCGGTCGCAGGACCAGTCACTGATCTGCACATGGAAGGTATGTAGAAAGAGAGAATGTCTTTATTTACACACGTCAAATGTTAGCCATTACTTTACATCCAAAGCATGATCCATGAAAATAAAACAAACTTCATCAAAGTTAAAACTTTCCCTCTGTGATGGTGATAAGAGAACAGACAGACAAGCTACGGACAGGGAGGGAACATTTGAAAACTGCATCTGCAGCCAAGGAGTGACGGCCCGAATACAGCGAATTCTCAGAACTAAACAGTGAAAAGCAACCAAATTAGCCCATGGGCAAAAGACATGAAGAGTCACTTCACCAAAAAAAGATATAAGATGGCAAATGAACACATGAGATGATGTTCAACATCATTTATCAGGGAAACACAAACTAAACCATGAGATGCTGTTAATAGCATCAGAAGGTTTTCTCATCTCAAAATAAGAACTGTTTCTGTACTGCTAATGCCTCTACGAGGCTACGTAAGTCACACTGCCCATGTCTTGGCAGGGAAAGTTAAGCAGCGACGCTGTCCAGTGCCGGCAAGGAGCTGGGAAAAGCAGGTCTCGCATCGGTGGCCGTGGGGGCGGAAAGTGGCGCCTTGCTCTGGGGAACAGTTTTCCCGTTTCTTTAAAAACTAGCCATGCAACTATCACCTCACACAGTATATAAATGCACGTTGGGCCTTCATCCCAAAGAAATGAAGACTTACATTCACACAAAAACCCGCATATGAAATTTTATAGTAGCTTTATGTAAAACAGCAATAACTGGACACAAGGCACGTGCCCTTCACCAGGAGGGGCTGACCATGCACCAGCACAGACGGAGCACGCTGATGCACACGACGCTCTCAAGGGACCTCCAGAGACATGTTCCCCTGTAAACGGAGAATCCCAAACAGCTACATACTGTGCGATTCCATTTATATGACGCTCTTGAAATGACAAAATTGCAGAAACGGGGAGATGGACTTGCAGGGCGGAAGGAGGAGGCAGGGGTGGGTAAGGAGAAGGAAGTGAGTGTGGCTGTAAAAAGGCAGCAGGAGGGACCCTGTGGCGATGGAACCGGTCCATCAATGTCCATGTCCTGGTCATGACACTGTTATAGCTTTGCAAGGTGTTACATTTGGGGGTAGTGGGTACGTGGCTCCCTCTATTATTTCTTACAATGGCATGGGAATTGACAATTGTCTCAAAATAAAAAGTTTTAAAAAATTTAACTATTTGACAGGGTCCCCATTTACACATAAGGACATCTTTCATTTTCATATGTCAGAGGACTCGTGGAAGTTCCGGCTGGAACCCTGAAAGAGGAAACACAAATGAGGGTCACGGCCGCCCTGCCGGGCCTGCCGAGAACAAGGCTCTGAAAGCTGCGTGCGGACCGCCTGCTGCGTGGGCCACACAACTGCGAGCCCAGCACCACTGCTGTGCTGGGAAAGCAGCCCTCCCCTCCGGCAAGGGTGGTGGGGCCTGCGCCCTCCACGGAGACACTGGGGTAACGGGAGGTCTGAGGGACACAGGGGTGTCTGCTTCCCACCTGGACCCTCTGAAGGGCCTGAGAAAGGCTGGCCGGCAGCTCAGGGGCCGGGAAGGAGGGGCAGTGAGGCTGTGCAGCACGCAGGGCCAGAGGAGTACAGTGCTGCCTCCAGGGGCTGTGCGGGAACAACACGCACCAAAAGTAGGCCGCTGGCTTAAGAGAGCCAGCTCGGGGTCTTCGCAGGGTGTGCCCCAAAGGCTGGCCCTGAAGGGGAATGGCGTTCTGCAGAAAAATGGGAAGGAATTAACACCAAGGACCAGTTACAATAGCTCTTGTCATGGGAGCCTACAGGGAGGGTGGTGGGGTCATGAATTTCAAACACCTGCAAGTCCGAGAGTCCCACTGCTGGCCCAGGAGGGCAGAAGACTGTAAATCCCCATCTCTACCCTCCAACCCTGACAGGGCTCGGGTGCCAGAACCAGAGGAGCTGGCGCCAGAGGGAAGGTTCTGGAAGCAGCCAGCTGCACCCCCATGCTCAATGTCCCGAACTGCTGGCTTCAGGCCTCTGACTGGCCAGAGCCAGGGCAGGGAGAGGCCTTCCTTTGAAAGCCAGAATTAAATTTTGGCCTCATGTTTTGATTGTTAAACTGAGACTGCAGCTTAAATAACCAAATAACTGTTTCTAATATTGAAGGTGACCAGAAGCAGCATGAATACTGCGTGAGTTTTCATCCAGAAACAGGGCCTCACAGAGAAGTAGTGGAAAAAAAGAATTTGCTGTGCACGTGTACTATATGTCCTGCTTGTTCACTATCCAAATACAAAGGGATAGACCTCTACATGTTAACAGAAATTGCTCCACATGTTACTGTTAGCATGTGTGTGTGCGTGTGCACACACACAGCATTATGTACTCCCCCCGCCCCATGACTCCGACAGGTGCTTTGAGCGACTTCCCGCGCTGACCTGGATGCAGCTGTGGGAGAGTGGCCTCGTCATAAGAGGATTTCCAGCCTCCGTGAGCGGTCCCCGCGCCAAGCGACAGTGTGAGACCACAGATGCTGCAAGCCTGGCTACAGGCGACGTGCAGCTTTCAGAGGAACCGCAGAACTATTAGGCTTGGAAATTGGAGACGGAATTCAGTTCCCATGAAGAACGAGACAATGTCCAATTTTTTCCCTTCAGTTGAACTTCTCAAGCGTCTGTGGCCACTGGCCAAAGCTATTTTTCTCTGCAAACTTTCACCAGAATCAACTGGCTTTGATTTATTGAACATTTGACCCATAACTGAACGGGAGAAAAAATAACAGAGATCATTCCAGTTGGAGGGGATTCCGAGGAGCCGCGGAGCCGGAGGGGGAGACGGAGGGGGAGATGCGCACTCCCCGCGGCCCGGGCCATCGGGCATGAGCGCCCCAGAGCTCCAGGGGGCGCTGCGGAGCACCTGTTCCTGATCTGAAAGGACTGAGCATCTTGGCCGTAATTTGGTTTTAGTATCTTTTTTGTTTGTTTGTTTGTTTGAGCATTTATACAAGAATTGCCTTTGGATATTCATTTGAAATTTTTTTAGAAGTTAGAAATTTAATTCTAAATATTGTAAAATTTATAATATTTTCATTGGCAACAATATGTTATATGTTTTTAAAGAATGTATATAACTAAATCCATTTTTTTGTGTGGTTAGGTATAAAGGAACGAAAAAGGTTTTTTCTATGTTTCTGACCTAGAGCTCTAGAACAGAGGCTTTATTTATAATAACAATTTTTTAGATGTCAGAAAGTTCACTAGCACTTTTAAACTGAGAACAGGTCCTCTGCCATTCGTACCATTTTATTTAGAATCCCAAACAGATCGTTAAAAATAAGCAGCACTTAATGATGATATTATAACATCAATCCCTTTGAATGTAGGCTTTATCTTTGATTCATCACAGAATGAACTTTCTTTTTCTCATTGTTTTTACCATTTCAAATTATAAAGAGAGAATGTATTCAACTTCAAAGTAAGAATTAAGTTGCACAAACAAAAAACTTAAAGCAAAGTATTAGAGCATGAAGACCGTTAGTGTGAATAAGCTACATCCCCCATGCCATGTACTTTCAAAAACCACAGAGTAAGCTCCTAACAGTATTTGCTCCACAAACAATTCCATTTCTTATGTGAGAATTGTAACTGTCTTAGAGATAGCTCTGCGAGCTTTATATATACTGTGTTTGACTTACCATGACAAGTCTTGAACTCAACATTTTCTGTAACACAGAGAAACAGTGACCTGTTAAAGAAAGTGGAATAGAAAAGATAAATTAGGCATTAAGTTCATTTCAACAGGATATCTCATTTTACTAATTCTCTCATCCCACAGATCTCTGAAATACTTGTATCACTGTCTTAAAAACTACAGAGAATGTTCCATAAATTGTATACTAATAACAAAAATCTTTTTCTTTAATCTACACCCAAGGACATTTTTTTTCATTGCTTTTAGAGAGAGGGGAAGGGAAAGAGGGAGAGAGAAACATCGATTGGCCGCCTCCCATAGGCGCTCAGACTGGGGACCTTATGTGCCCAGAGCAGTGATCGGCCTGCAACCCTTTCGTTACAGGACAATGCTCCTACCAACTGAGCCACACTGGCCAGGAAGTGTATGGTAAAAATAAAAGCTTCTATAGAAAGTAGTACTATATATGCCTTTCCTCCTAATTACAAGAATTTCTAAAAGCCTCTTACTTGTCTCTCTTCTTGATAGTTTAAGTGCTTTTAAAAGGTAACAAACATTTAAAAAGACTATTGCAATGCTACACAGAGGGAGCTGAAGAGAAATTCAGGATTGGCTGGCTGGCTGGAAGAGCATTTCTCTTCATTGGCACTTTGCTGTATTTCCTCTGAAACAGTTATTTTGGGCTCAGAGATGAAGTTCACTTGGTATCAGTGATGTTTACACAACACGCTCAAAATCCACTAGAATCCTGTTGTCCTTCTTGTTGTCTTCTTCCCTTTTCTATAAATGAACTGGAAAAAAGAAATCTTTCCCACATTTTGTCTTCGGTTTGCCCTTTACCTGCCCCTTTTTGTCTCCCAGTCTGTTAACAAACACAGTTTGTGACCGCCCTCCTCCCCCCTTGTATCACGTTAGCCCCTGCCACACAACTCTGCGTCCTTGTTTCTGTTTGCCGAGTTGTCACGGGAGACTGCCTGACACAATGGCGGCCTGCAAGTGCACTGCAGGCCGAGCTGCCCCCGCAGTCGGGGCACAGACAGGCTCACAGGCCGCGCAGAGATGCTCAAACCCTAGTTCCTTAAGTCCCTTTAAAGCGGGAGGAGGGCGATGGGGCGCGCGACCGGCCGCAGGTCGGGTGCCAGCGGGGAAGGCCACACTGCCTGGATCCCAGTTAGGGGCTGTGCGCATGCTCCTGTTCCCTCCTCTCCTCTCTCCCGCAACAGCCGGCCCAGGTGACGGTTGGGAGACAGACTGATGCTTGAGCAAGGTCAGCAGACAGGAGGAGCCTGGGCCCAGGGGCGCACAGGCGCTCTGTGAAGAGAAGCCGAGGCGACCGCCCCCGCCACAGCGCTGGCTTGCCGAGTGGCCTGCCGGCAGCAGGAGCGCCTGCATCAGTTCTCAGGTGGGGCGCCTGGGGCTCCAGAATAGGGCAGCGAGGGGCCCTTGCAAGGGTGGCATGGCTGTCCGCCCAGAGGTGGCGTGACCACGGTTTGGTCTGTCCCTGCATTTCCATCCATCGGTAACTGTCTTGGGTGCTGTGTCCTGCACTTCGTTCGTCTGGCCGGCCTTGTCTTTCCCATTCGCAGGCGGCCGGGTCTCCGCCTTCAGCGTCTCACCTCCTGACCTCTGCCTGTGCCGCACGAGCCACACGCTCACTCGTGCTCTGAGCCGCACGCAGCCTGCAGGGCTCCTCCATCCCATTCCGTGCTCTCTGACAGAAGGGATTTTTTCAAATAATGCAGCAAACTAATATTATATTAACCCACATTTAAATATTTTCTCCATTTACTCAGTTAAATGGTTTGGCCTTACTTATTATGTCTTTGTATTATTCTTTTCACCTTGCCTTTTCTCACTTTCCTCCCAATTTTGCTCATTTTAAAAAGGAGACTATTATGCTAAGTGAAATAAGCCAGTCAGAGAAAGACAAACACCATATGACTTCACTTATGTGTGGAATCTGATGAACAAAATGAACAAAACAGAAACAGACTCACAGATACAGAGAACAGACAGCTGCCAGCGGGGTGTGGTGGGGGCTGAGTGGAAAAGGTGAAGAAATTAAAGCAAAAAACCAAAACAAAACCAAAACAGATACAAACAATGGTATGGTGATCACCAGAGGGAAAGAGCAGGGAGGGAGGGAGAAGGGGCGAAGGGGGCGATGGTGGCGGAAAGAGACTGGACTCGGTGTGGTGGGCGCGTGAGGAAGGGCAGGTGATGTGCTGCGGAGTTGTACACTCAAAGCCTGAACTGATTTATTCACCAGGTCACCCCAGTAGAGTCAATAAAAAAGGCACTAGATATGTTTTATGTTACTTCTCTCCTAAAATCAAACTTCTTCAATTCTCCATGTTTCTATTTGACATTAACACATAGTTTGTGCAATACTTTCCATCTCAGGAAACCAATGTTTTAAAAATGTTATATAATTACAATACCCTTAAAAATCTATTGACAGTGATGAGAACAACAATCTTCATGTGTGTTTCTTACATAGTCCGCTTATTTGACCCGCAAGGCTTCTTACAGATTCTCCCGAGCCACAGGTGCTCCAGACCTTAGCTGTTGTCCTGTTGGGCACAAAGTCACAGACTAGAAAACCTCTGTACCCAGTGGCCACGAGGCATTTCCCAGGACGGCGCAGGATGGTAAGCGGCTGACCCCTCCGCCTCCCCAGCACAGCCGCCGCACCAGCCCTCCCGGCAAAGCTCGGGAGTCAACAGGCGCATCGATAAACGTCTGCCCAACGCCTGTTCTTTACAAAGCACAGGGTGGGCGGGCGGGGTGGGGAGCAGCAGTTCAAGGCAGATTCTGACACTCATTTATCTTATGTGTTTTCCTGAAAAGTTCTGCGTACCCAATGTTTGTTTTCAAAAGTCATTTTGAAGCCTATTCCTTTATTTTAAGGGAATTTTCTCTTACCCAATTATAGTCATAAAAAGTACAAGGAAGAAGTCATGTTTGGGGAAAAAAACCCCAAATGTTAATATGCCTGGAATACTGGGTGCACAAACACTAGAATGCGGCTGAGTGCGGCAGCAGAGGACTGTGTGTGTGGGAAGTGGCCAAGATGTTATCCCCTTGAACCTGGATGTGTGCTGTCCGGTACGGTAGCTACTACCTACATACAGCAAAGTACATTTAATCAATTAAATCAAACAAAAAATCAGCTCCTGGGTACAGCGGCCACATTTCAAGTGCTCAGCGGTTATCTACGGCTAGCGGCTCCGGTACTGCTTAGTGCGGGTAGCACTGCACAGTGCAACCCTAAACATAAACAGGTTTTTGAGCAGAGTTGGAGATGATGAAATTATAATTTCTCTCAAATTTCTAGCAAGAATTTGATAGACTGGAAAGCAGTAGGCCAATTAGAGTATCAATCAGGATATATACCTTCCCTAGGCTGTGGCTGTAGAAATGGGAGTATGTGTGGAGCAGGGGGAGGTGAGAGACAGCGCAAGAGCGAGGGGGAGACAGCAGGAGAGGCCCCAGAGCCACAGAGCAGATGTGGAGACTGAGGGAAGGGTGAGCGCTCCTTATTCAGGGAACTGGGTGGGCATTGATCCTATTCTCTGAAATAGGAAATGCCGAAGGGGTGAAATTTTTCTTGAAGAGGATGGGGTGAATGACGAATATAGATTTTGTCCGTTTTAAGTTTAAGGTTGTGAGGAACGTTCCAGGAAGATGTACGAGAGGCAGCTGGATATGCAGGTTTGGAGGCATCCTCAAGCAGCTGAAGGGCAGACACATAAATTAGTGTGTGGATCTCTCACTCCTCCCTTAAATAAGTGCCTACAAGAGAAACTGCTTTTCCAAAGAGTATGAATTATATGTGGAGACCTTCCAGGCTTCTTCTGCCTGTCCCCCCTCCCTGGAGGCCCTCACCACATTTTGGGGAGGGACAGAGTCACTGATAGGCTGGTCAGTCCCCGGCAGGGGCGGGGCTGGTCGGAGTTACAGCCAGGTCTCTTCGCAAAAGGCGACTGCCCTCCCCTGAATGCCGAAGGCTTTGTAAACACGACAAGGCAGCACCCATTTGCACCCTTACCAGTCCAGGTTCCTGGCAAGAAGACAGAAATCATCTCAGGAACTTTGAACGGGTAGCACTGTTGCTCCAACCCTAGAGCTGGCAGGACAGAGGCTGGTTTATTCTCAGAGCTCCAGAGCACACTCAAGGCCAGGTCGGCGTGGGAGCCGGAGGGGAAGGCAGGACCACCAAGGAGGGGCTGTGGCAACGGGCTCGGAGATTTTGTGAAGGACGCAGCCATTCCCCAAGTGCCAGAAGCCAGAGGAAAGGAAATGAACAGTTTGCCCACATTTCACTTGTGACTCCCTGCCTGTCCCTTCCCCCGCAGAAGGCTGCCTGACACCACCGAACCAGGAAGGCGGGGAGGGTCGTTTGCAGACTCCAGGCCCAGCCAACATCACAGAGCAGAGATCAGGTGAACAGGGGGTCAAAGACCACAGGCAAATAACCTGCACTGCACTTTATTAGGAACAAAGAAAGCTTCCTTCTTGAGGTGTTCACTCCATAAAGAAAACCCGACGTATTTGGTCTTTGATTTTTTATGACCCAGACAGACTACAGGTAAGGTCTATCACAGTCACTGTCACATAAGATGCTCAATAAATATCGCTACATTTTTGAGTGATCAAGGGCCTATTCCCATCACTGATAAATAGTTCAAATCAGTAGTCAACTTACATGGTTGGCAGGTAAAGTGATTTTTAAAGAGACCCTGCCATTACTCAACAGATTTCCAGAACTCTCTTCTGAAGTTGACTTTCAGAGCTAGTTTTTGAGAAACGCGTGGCAGTGAGTAGAATCCACTCCTGCCCATTTCGGCCTAGTCTGACCCACCAGGTTTCGATCTGGAAGACGTAATACTATTTGCAAAAAGAAATCCCCCCCTCAACGAATAAAGACTTGCTACTAATGCTGGTACGCACTTGCCACAGCTTCTAATTAAACTTGAGACAACATACTGTCTTAGTCCGCCTCTGACGCTTTGGGTCTGGAATGTGATGACAAACGCGGCGGATAACAGCGGTTATAACCTAGGGCGTTGGAGAGCCGAGCCTCTCCACGCCCCGCCCCGCCCCACCAGACCCAGGTAACTCCAGGAGGCTGTGTCCACGTCCCGGGGACATTTCCAGCTAAGACAGCCGTGCAAGCCTAAAAAGGGGTCCCCTGGCCTGCGACCTATTGTTCTACCACCCGCCCTTCCTGCAGGGAAGATTCCAAAGAGCTTCTCCGTCTCCGGGGCTAGTCAGGTGTAAAGAAGAGCACAGGTAGATCCTGCGCCCTTCCGTGTGGGACAAGGTAATAAAGCACAGTAAGCGCTGCCACCGCGCATGCGCCAAGCGCGGTCCGTTCTTTCCCTCCGCACCGCTCCTCGAGGCGGGCAGCCTTATCACCTCCTGGAGGTGATTAACTAGCCCAGGCCACTCAGTAAATGACAGTCCCCGGTTCAAACCTGGCCATCTGGCTCCCGTTTATGCTTTCAGGAAAAAAGTGGATATCTGGCAATTTTTAAAAACATCAGGACTGGCAACTGGGGGATTAACGGAAAGGGGGAATCAAGAAATCGGTCCACACCTTCGAAATAGTGCTGCTACACCAAGGGCGTCTTACGTCCCAGGAAAGATGACAGCCTACAACTCCGTCGGCGGCCCCGCCCTGACCGGCTCCCGTCGCCTCGGCTCCGGGGGGCGGAGGAGACCCCGCCCACGCCGCTGCGTCTCTCATTGGGCCCCTTCCTGTGTTGTCAAATATCAGCGTCCTAAGGGAGGCGGGATTTCCGGGCTGGGAGCCAATTCCGGCCGCGCCGGAAATGCCTAGTGAAGAAAGACTAAAAGATTACGTGCCGCGCGTAGTTCAAGGCAATTCTTGTGGGTCGCAGACCCACAAGGAGCAAAGTCGGGCGGAGAGTCTCCCGCTAATCGCCAAGTTTCCAGGGTAGTGGAAAACGGGAGTTGGGACATGGACAGCCGCTTGCAGGAGATTCGGGAGCGTCAGAAGCTACGGCGACAGCTCCTCGCGCAGCAGGTCCGCGGCCCTGGGCGTGATCGCGAACGCGCGTGCGCGCCGCCCTCTTCCTCGCGTCCTCTCTGTGCGCTCCCCGGACCCTGACCCTGCACGTGCCTGCCCTTCTTGCTCTCAGCTTCCGCGGCGCCCCAAGGGCTCCCGATCCTTGTCGCGGTCGTGTTGGCGATGCAGATACTAACACCTAGCGTGCGGGCCAGCGCCCAGTGAGGGGGACGCGAAGCCTTGGTCCTTGTGAATACAGAACCGCAGTTCACGCACGCGGAAGTGACTTCTCCCCTAAATTTTTCGTCACTGTTTGCGGGGTCTAATGTCTCTTGCCTTTCTTTGTAGCTAGCACACATCTCGAGGCTGTGGCTTCCTTGTGAGATGGGTTTACAGAATTTGGGGGGGTCGGGTGGATCACGTAAAGACCGAGTTGGAAGTGGCTTGGGTGTAAATTTTACTTTCTGCCTCTTGTGTATCGCAGTCCGCTGTGCAGTGTACAGTATCCACGCTGTCACCCTCGGCCAGTACGTGAATTCATACTCCGTACGTTACAACAGACTCCTGGTGTATATAGGATTATCTTCACTCAAATGGAGGCTCTCGAGGTTCAGTCCCTGTGGCCCGGGCTCAGTCACTGCTAGACCGGGAAGTTGAACCCAGTGTGTTTCTCTAAAGCTTCCTTTCACTGCTGCCTGTGCAGGTGTGTGTCAGTTAACACGCCGATGAGCGGAGTGCGCGCGCAGCAACGCAGGAAGGGCACATCTCTGCCCAAGAGGCTGGTCTACGTTTCTACCTCTCGACCCAGTAAAACGATGGAGACCCTCACGGGCTTTAATGAGGCATCTTACTGTTTTGTTTTGGGGTTTTTTCCAATAGTGAATCTTGGTTTTAGTAAGTGGGAATCTGAAACTTCTCATCTTTTGTGACCTGATGAAAAGACTTACGATATAGTGTTTAAAATAAGGGAATTTAGAATCATACCTGTTACTGTCCTGGTGGCATTGTGATCTTGGACAAATCAGGTCTTTTCTAAGCCCTTTTCCCAGCTCGTATGCTGTCTTCAAGAAGCTTCTTGCTGTCACCAAGTAAAGTTCTTACACTTTAATTTGAATTCAAACTCTGTTTGTCTCAAAATACATGATACAACAGTTACTTGTTGAGGGTCTTACTTGTGTCAGGGGCTCTAGTTCGCATTGCGGTTCGCCTGTGCCTAACAGCTAGCCTCTACCCTCCAAGCACGTACACTGTGCATAACATTTGATGGCTGCCGCTTCCTAAGTCTCTTGTGTGTGTCAAACTCAGGTAAGCTTTTTGCATACGTTATCTTCAAACGTACAGATACTATATGCATCTCATAAATAAAGGAAAAAAAGCTCAAAGGATTTTAGTTATGTGCCCAAACCCACAACCTTGCAAGCTGCAATTTCATGCCCCTCTGCTTTTTCCATTGCACCTGCGAACTAGGAGCCATCCCTCCTAAGTAAGGCGGTCCACGACAATCAATGACAGACTTCACTTTACCACGAATTTCACCCTTTATTTCACTGCTGTTCTCTATATGAACAAGACAGAGAAAACACGGTTCGTGCGATATATACATTATGGGGTTTTTTTAAATTATTTTTTAAAATATATTTGTCTCCGCCTTCCCCCCACTACTTTCCCTGCCCCCCTCCCATTATGGTTTTTTTAAAGGTGTCCTGCCTGATTTTTGTCTGTCCTTTGACGTAGCTCAGCTCGAACACAGCGATGAAATCTGTCCTGACCTTTGTGGTTTATACTCTTCCCCAGGGTTTTCACTGTCCTCACTCCTGGGTCCACTACTAGATACAATTTATTATCGTATGGAATGTAAACAGTTTGGGAAATATTCACATTGAATTCCTGTTGGGTTTGTCTTCTACCCCTTCTTGTCCAAAGTAAGCTTTTAATAAACATTTGTTGACCAATAAGTACAGTAGAGCACAACTCAGTGCATTTGATTGGCGTGGTTTGCTTTTGTCTGCTGGGTGGACATCAGATGCACATGTAGGCCCAGACTGGGACAGTGGCAGTTTTTGCTGCCACCAACAATTTACACCTGCTCTTTATTTAACTCATAGCTTTGTTTCAGAATATTGCTATACTTTCAGATGATACCAGGTTGCCATAATTATTCAAATAATATATTTAGTGCTCCATTAATGGAAAACCTGTTATTTACTTAATTCAGTGGCTCCACAATTTTTTACAAAATTTTGGAGCGTGAGCAGACAGTTACGTGTGTAAGCAAAATTTTGATTTAAAGCAGTGCTCTTGCAATACGTTGTTTTCTAACTTAGCCCCTCGCAGGAAATTCCACTGGTTCCTCTTCAGAATCACTGAGCGCTCACAGTGAGGCAGGCGTGTTGCTGCTGCACACACAGCTTTCAGAGCTCCTCCTCGTCAGTGGGGAGAAATACACAAGAGTAAACCCATAAAACAATTGGAAGTCTTGGTAGAGACTGAAACAATATAAACGGGGAGGAAACAAAAGTAAGAGAGAAAGTCACTGAAGGCGGTATTAAGATCTGAGTGAGGAAAGGTGGGACAGAGGGGAACCGTGGAAGGCGGCTCCTCACTCCGCATACCCCGTTCCTGGGGGACCCTCGAGGGAAAATGCTGTCCTCACCGGGCTGTGGAAAGAGGAGCCAGTCATGAGAAGGGCAGAGAGCATCCCCGTGTCCTCGTGGGGAGTGCCCCTCCCTGGGCAAGGAGAACGGGGTCTGGAAGACCTCGCGGAACAGTCCGACCGCAGGAGCGGGAGCTGACACAGTGGGCAGCCTCCTCGGCGGTGGTTGTCCGAGACCCGGGCTGGGGACCTGCAGCTCTGGTGTTGAGTGTGCCTTCCTCCTTTCCTGGTGAAGGGACGTTCCATGCAGGCTCCCTCGCCCCCTTCTGCTTCCGCACAATAGATGGTCGACGTGGCCTGTCAGTGGCGCTCTACACTCCTTGGTCTGTCTCATGAAGACTCTGTGAGCTAATCCCACTCTACTGCTCTATGTACCTGCTGTATCTCAGCCATTTGTCTGCAGTTGTGTTTTTCAAAATTTCCCCAACTGCCATCCAGAATTTGCACTACCATGTTTAGGGAATCAGTAAAGCCCTCTAATGTGCCTGTAATCATTATATAAAGACTTTGCTTGAATAAAAGCTAATGAACTTTTATTAAAGCATGGGATAAATAAGGCATAATATGGGAATTAATAGATGTAAAGTATTTAACATAGTGCCGATCACCATACAAGCACTGTATGGTAGCTCTTTTGTTATTGTGACTATTACCAAATCATGTTTTATTTACTTTAAAAGATGGACAAAGTGAAGTTTTACTTTCAGCTGTAACTAAAAGCATAAAATGCCAAGTGATCTCATTTCTGGCTTCTGTCCTTCCCAGCTGGGAGCTGAAAGTGCCGACAGCATCGGCGCCGTGTTAAACAGCAAAGACGAGCAGAGAGAGATTGCTGAGACGCGAGAGACATGCAGGTCGGTGTGCCCTGCGGTCGTTGTTTACTGACCTGTGGATGTCGTGAAAGGACTATTGTTTTATCACACAAATGATCCTCAGTATGAAGTGTGTTATGAAAGCATCAAAGATTTTAGAACCATTGGTTTTTACTGTTAGTTCATGAGTGATGAAATATTTCTCATATAATACTTAGGAAATGGAATGTTAGGCTAAGGATTAGCTTGTACACCATAAATAAATGTTTTTTAAATTCTTGTAAAAGAAAACAGAGTTTGCCATAAAAGTGGCAACCATTTGATAGGTTACAAAGCACTTCATAATTTTTCAGTATTCTAGTTATCAATTTGAGCATTAGTTTTACTATAGACAGATTAGAATGGTACCTAATATCGAAGTCCCTTTTTTGCCGTATATCTGTATAGCAGCTTCTTTTCTCACTTAGTTGCTTGCCTATAAAAATAAAGTACAGAATAACCAGTCAGGCTGTATGACTTTTTTGGTGATTTTTAAACTGGGTGAATAGATACTGTTTAATCACGGAAAACTTGCTTTTTTCTGTTTTTATTATCTGTTATTTAATGCTAATAACAGATGCATTTATACATCTTGAATGTGCTTGTGTGTGATCTTTTAGTTTTAATTTTCAGGGCTTCCTATGATACCTCTGCTCCAAATGCAAAACGTAAGTATCAGGAAGAAGGAGAGACAGATGAAGACAAAATGGAAGAATATAAGGCAAGTAAAGAATTGGGGGAATTTTACTGTCAAAAAAATAATAATAAGTCCTTACAATAATAGATTCTTATCCAGAAAAACAAGTTTGACAGAAAGCTGAATATTAAAGCGTCCAAAATAATTGTCATAAATGTATGTATGTATAACTGAGCACATGTGCGGTCAGTTAAATTAGACCTTTATATCACTCTCCTCATTTTAACACAGACTTGTGTGATCAAAGTAGGTGACGTGCAGAAAGCACTTAGCATAATGCCAGGTAAACACTAGGCAATAACATTCTTAAGTAACAGTAGGGAGGTAAGTGTATCAGAAACCTTGGGTAATTGGGTCGGAGTTTGAAAGGCAGCAATACTATCCTTTTTGATTTGTGTTTTTCAGGGTTAACAATGTGGGGCAGTCCAGGTAAAACAGTGGGAAGACTCACGTGCTAGGGAGCAGTGTAGAACTATTTCTGAAAGAAACAAGAAAATATCCAACTTCTAAATTTGTAGTTGCGGTATTTAGTTGAAAGTATTACAATGAAAAACCTATTTCTGTTTTTTAAAGGTAATTGTTGCAGAACTCTGTCTAAGAGAGAAGGGAAAGCCCAGAGTCAGTGAATCCCCAGGTGGCTCAGGGATACAGGCATCTAACCTGCCAGTGTGGTCTGCTCTGCGGCGTTTGGATGCACGCTGATGTGTAGCTTCAGTATCTGTGATTGTCAATGGTCAGACCGTATACAGTTCCCAACGGTCTGCCATTTTTTGATTTGTAAAAATAGTTTCATATGGTTCAATCTAATAGAAATAAAATTGGGCCATTGGTGGTTATATCTTCTGATTCAAGCTAAATTCTAATAGTTATAGTTTCGCATTTGAGATTAAATAATTTCTAGACAATTTGGTCAACAAATAGTTCTAAACAATTATTGATGAAAACTTGTGAAAATAATAAACTAGTTAGATCTAATAATGAGAAAGTGAAGATTTTAATGTTTGAGTTTAATGATAATTTGAAAAATTAATTATCCACTAGGGAAATAAAGTATTTATGTTGAGTCTTAGTCAAGATATAATGCTATGTAAACTATTCCTTTTATGCATAAAATATCTACTTAATCTTGATTTTCAAAGGATGAACTAGAAATGCAGCAGGAAGAAGAGAATTTGCCATATGAGGAAGAGATCTACAAAGATTCCAGTACTTTTCTTAAGGTAAAGCAATAATTCTCAAATCTTAAAACTTTTTGCATTGCAGCTCTGTGACTGAAAAGATTTTATATACCTATTTGTTTTTCAAGATTTTTTTAGTTACTAAAAAATCATTATTATAAAGATTATTTCAAATTATTCACAAAATAGTCTGGTACTTGGCTATTTAGGATAAGATAATGTAGTAATGTCTTTAGCTACTGAAGAGAAATACTCTCATTTTAATTGTGGCTTTTAATCTATAAATCAATTTATATTTTATATGGTCTCATACTTAAAAAACAAAGTACAGAATCTGTGTATCAAGGTGTGCTCTGTTAATTGCATTTTGGTCTTTCTTTAGGGAACGCAGAGCTTGAATCCCCATAACGACTACTGCCAGCATTTTGTGGACACGGGACACAGGCCTCAGAATTTCATCCGGGACGTCGGTGCGTCAGCTTTGCTTGGGGCGTGCTGCTGCTCGCTCTTGCTTCCATGCGTGGCACTTAGTAGCTCCTAGGTTGTTCCTAGAGAGGGACTGGCTCTAGTTGGGTTTGTTCACAAGCCCTTGGCTGTTAATGTAAGATCAGCAGCAGCAGTTCATCTCTACTATACCTTGTCTCTTCCTTTACCTAATTCTAAAACATGAAAGAACAGTCATATTTATTTATTTTTTTTCATCTAAAAGAAAGGGAGGAAAGCATGAGAGACAGGCAGCCTTTCCCTTTCCCAAGAGGAGAATGGTTAAACTGATGTTATGAGCAGGTTACTGAAAGTCATAAATAGGAGATGTGGTCTGGTGACTAGAACTTGGCTTTGGAACACCTGCATTTTTATCAGTTTACGGAATGCGGATCAATAGGTATGAAATATGTGTATGAAGTGTTTAAAAATACTCAAAATTATCTAATAAGGACATGAGAGTATCAAGTGAGGTGTGTGTGTTCTGATTTCCTGAAAAGCCTCATAACCTTTGAATGCTCTAATAATACTGGCTTCTAGTGTATTGACACGCAAAATGACCGTTTTCCTCAGGTTTGGCTGACAGATTTGAAGAATACCCCAAGCTGCGGGAGCTCATCAGGCTGAAGGATGAGTTAATAGCGAAATCTAACACTCCTCCGATGTAAGCAGTTTTTAAAATTACTTTTGTTTCCAACTCAGGCTTAAATTGCCACTTCTCTATCTGGTTACTTTTCTGTTCAAAAATTATCCAGCACCTGTTTAAGGTTAACACACCATGTATTTCTTTAGAGTAAAATATATTAGTTTGAAACTCCAATGCTCAGTACACAGTAGGTTCTCATTTAATTTGTTTTCAGTTTTTCAGATAATTTGCTTAAAGTATCTTTAAGTACTTTTTTCTTAGAAAATCATTCATATTGTGTTCTTGAATTTATTTGAAATATTTTTAAATAACTTTCTCAAAAAGTTACTTGTTGAAGAAAATTTAGAAAACTTAGATGAAGGGAAAGAAAGTGAAAATTAAAACTCAGAATCCAGGGCTACTATTCTTAACATTTTGGGGATATGGTAATTCATTTTAACCTTTGCTAAACAGAATAATGCTGTCTTTAAAAACATATATAAAGTCTATGAAATTAGATAATGTTTATTTCACATTTAGTTTACTTTGAACATCCTGTACATTTAACAGTTTGCTGAAATGTATTAATGATTAGAATAGCCACAAAGAAGTCTGAATATGAGGGGAAAATATTAGTAAAGTAATATTTTTTAAAAGACATAAAGTATTTTATATTTAGATATTTTATATTCAAAATACTTTCATACTCCATGGAAATAACCTTTCAATAAAGGCTAGTGATAGTTTATACTAGGAGGCCAGGAAAGATGTTTAATATGGGGGAAAAAATTTTAGACACTATTTTTCAGGGGGAGGGATTTAAAATTTACAGAGAAATAGTTTTTCTAAACTAAATGATTAAGAAAAAAGGAGCGTGATGGTCCTTAGAATGTTCAGGTGATAACGGACAGGGACCGAGAGCCTTCTGGCTGAGCGTGGTTCCCCAGCGGAGTGCGAGAGGCCAGCCTCCGGGCGTGTGCGGGGAGCAGGGCGGCCTTGTCCTCGGGAGGGCGTTGGTGGCTCTGCCCGTGCTGCAGGCGGGGCCCTGCCCGAGGGGCCTCCACGAGGGCTCGCGGCTGCTTTGTCAGCAGCGCATAGCGACATTGAGGACGTTTCTCCCCCTCTCGGCCCGAAGGTGTGTGAAAGCCTCTTCCTCGCTTGTTGTGCCGTCCTGACTAGGTACTTGCAAGCAGACATAGAGGCCTTTGACATCAGAGAGCTGACCCCGAAGTTCGATGTGATCCTTCTGGAGCCGCCGCTGGAAGAGTACTACCGGGAGACCGGCATCGCTGCCAGCGAGAAGTGCTGGACTTGGGACGACGTAGGTGGAGCGTCCTGCCTTGGGATGCGCTCTTCGTGTTCCAAAGGAATAAAGGTTAAAAGTATCACCCCTGCTTCCCTAGGGATCACAAATGCAGAGTTACAGTGCATTGTGGCTGAAGGCCTCAGGTACGTTAACAAACACCACAGTACCCTCCGGAGGCAAAAGTCGCACAGGTAGTGAGTAAACGGTCTTTGGAAGACATGCCATTCCAGTCTCAGGTGTGTAGCTAAAAACGACAAATTGTCAGAACGACTGGTGGCTCATTCTGCACAGGTTAGTTTTGGTACACAGTGTGAGTTTGTATGTAAAAGACAGTTTCTGCTCTTATAGGAGCTGACAGTGTATTAGGTAAAAAGTACATAAAATTTCAATATAAAATAATTGTGATAAACTTACTTTCCTAAATAAAATTGAACAGAGAGATAACAGAGAGTAACAGAGATTACTTTTTATAACTAACTGTGCAGTTAGTTATCAATTTATATCAATTTGATTTTTGTTATCAATAATAAAAATAACCAATATTTATTAAACACCACTCTGTTCCAGGCAGAGACTATGGTGGCAATTCAAAGATAAATAAAACTTAGATGTCATTACATTTCATTTTAGTTTTGCCTCTGATTTAGGGGTGATTTAACCTGTTTTTATATCAGTTTTTTCCCCTATAAAACAGTAAAAGGCTGTTCTCAAGCTGTGTCTTACAGCGTTTTATAGACACAGCTGCCTATAGCCTCTCCATATGAAAGTCAGGCTGTGTACTTGCGTGTGTGCATGTGGAAGCAACAGAACAAGACATTTTAAGGATAAAATTTGTCACCCATTATGTGTCCTGATGAAAATAAGTACATTTAAAGACTCTACCTTCTGAAAATCCTGATCAATCTCAGTGATTCATTCTTAGGACAAATCAGAAGCAAAATACTTTTATGCCTTGTTGTTTGGTTTCTTACAGATTATGAAGTTAGAAATAGATGAGATTGCAGCACCTCGGTCGTTCATTTTCCTCTGGTGTGGCTCTGGGGAGGGGCTGGACCTCGGGCGAGTGGTAAGAGGTGGGAGCGTATGGTGGCTGAGGTTTGTCAGGTGTCCATGTGTAACAGGCCTCGGGCCTGAAGGCCCAGATCACTACTTTATAGGTTATAGAAAGATAAAAGTAGTTTTCCCTGTTAAGAGATATACATAGCAATTTTAAGTCTCTGAATTTTTTGAGGTTTAGCATTATAAAAACATTTTATAAGACTCATTTGAAAAGAACATTTTCAACACTGTTTAGCTTGTCAGTGGATAGAAAATTGAGGTTGCAGGAACCAAATGATCTTTTGAGTTATTTTGTGACTAAGGGGGGCTGAGTGTTATCACTGAAAACCCACTTCCTTCTGGTGACAGTGGATGGTGGTATGGAAGAACTGGAATTCTATGTAATCCTTTCTATGACTGGGTGTTAAACTGTATGCTAGTACCTAAGAGGTGTGTATGTGTCCTGTGTAATTGACACAGGCTAGTATCCTTTTTTCTGTGTCTGCACTAAAACAGAGTTACTGTGACACCCTCAAGCCTCAAGAAGTTTTTTAATGATAGCTGGTTATTTTCAGTATTGCTTATTTCTTTTAGCTAAGAGTTTTCTAAAATCTCATTTCTAGTGTTTACGCAAGTGGGGTTACAGGAGATGTGAAGATATTTGTTGGATTAAAACTAATAAAAACAACCCTGGGAAGACTAAGACTTTAGATCCAAAGGCTGTCTTCCAGAGGACGAAGGTATTGACTCTACTGATTATCTTTACTTTTATTTTTACTCTTGATTTTTTTCTCAAATAATTTTCATTATTTTCCAAATGGCTGTTTACTGTTCAGTTTTGGTGGAAAGGTCCTTTTCTTAGACTTGGGCGAATGGCATTGAGCATCATAGTAATACATTCAAGTTAGGCTTTTTATTGAAGTATAACTGACTGACAGCGTTGTACTAGTTTCAGGACTACAGCATGGTGACTGATACTACAAAGTGATCACAAGTCTGGCTGCCACTGCACAGAGTTATCAGAGGACTGTTGACCAAGTTCTCTGGGTTGTCTGTTGCTCCCTGTGGCTTGTCTCATAGCTGGAAGCTCCTTGATCCCTGTCACCCATTTCCCCACCCCCCAACCCCATCCCTGGGGCAACCACCAACTTGATCTCTCCGTCGGACTCTGTTTCTGTTTCATTTTGGTCATTGTGTTTAAGAGTCTGCATGTAAGTGACATCATGTGGTATTCACATTTGTCTGATTGATTTTACTTAGCTTCAGACCTCCCAGGCCCATCCATGTTGTTGCACACGGCGAGGTTTCATTCTTCCAGGCCCAGTCGTGCGCTATTACATGTGCCCCACATGTCAGACTTTAAGAGTTTTGTCCTCCAGCGGTTCATTCTTCAGGGACCACAGGTGGAAGGATCTTTCTTGAACTGCTGGTTCCTGGAATCCAGTGAGAGATTAGTCTGTTTAGTCCACACTCTTGCCACCCAGTTTCAGTAGAGAAGGTCTGAAAACAAAATGGATGGATGCACACATTTATTTATGTACAGAACGCAGAAGTCTGCATCCATTCTTCACGTCCCATCACGGAGAGGCTCGCGCCTCGTGTATACTTTTGACCTTGGATCCTGGGAGGCCCAGTGTAGCATTATTGGAAGGTTCCCAGGTCCACGTCCCTGTTTCCACAATTGTTGGAAATGGCTCGTGGTGACTTTTGCGGCGAAAGCCGACTCCACGGCCGCTGCCGCAGTCCCACGGGGCGGGGGCCCGGCTGCCATCCCCCGCGCCGGGAAGCCGGTTCCCCACGGGGATGCCCGCAGACCCGGCGGGGCGAGGGCGGTTCCGGCCCTGGGGGCGCCAGAAATGCGAACCGCCGGGAGCCGCAGCTGCGGGGGGGCGCTGACCGCTGTCCCGTGCCCTTGCTCAGGAGCATTGCCTGATGGGGATCAAGGGGACCGTGAAGCGCAGCACCGACGGGGACTTCATCCACGCCAACGTCGACATCGACCTGATCATCACGGAGGAGCCCGAAATCGGCAACATAGAGAAGCCGGTGGAGATTTTCCACATCATCGAGCACTTCTGTCTGGGGAGACGGCGCCTCCACCTGTTCGGGAGAGACAGCACGATTCGGCCCGGTAGGACCTCGGGAGGTGGGAGCCTCGGGGCTCCCTGGAGCGCGTGGCGGGGAGGCTCTCGCGAGCCGGCCCTTCCTGGGGCGGAACTGCGGGCCCGCCCGCGTTCTGGTCCTTCACCCCGCGTGCCATCTGGGCGGCGTCCTCTGAGCCGCGGCCGCTCCCGTGGAGGCAGGACGCGCCCCCCCCCCCAACCCCACAGGCGTCCCGGCGGCCGGCGACCCTCGTGCTGAGGGGAGGGGTGCGCGTGTGGGCGACTGGCCGACCCGCGGAAAACGCCAGACGTGTGGGACGCAGGCCTTGGCTTTCTCAGAAACTGAAGCGCTGGCTTGTTCCTCACGGGGATGGCGGCGTGAGCTTTCACAGCCGCACGGAGCCGGCTGGACGCGAGCCCCGCCTCCGGGAGGCTAAGCAGCGGCGGGGCTGCGAGGGCCTCACGCTCTGGTCCCGGGGCGCGGCCTCGGCTGAGGGAGGGCGATGGGCAGGCGCGTCCTGACGAACTTCTCGGACGGGAGCCCCGCTCCTGGAGACTCCTTGGCCCGCCCTGAGGGGCCCGTGTCTCTTGGGCACCGCAGGGGCGTATTTCCAGTGTCCCCCAAACCATGCCCCTTAGAAGAATCACCACCCGGGAACCCCAAAGCATGGTATCCCCCCAGCCCGGGGTCGGCGTGACCCGTCCGAGACCGGCCTTGTGGCGTGTGCAGCTGCCCGGCGGCGCGGCCGACAGGAGCCCGAGGGGCAGGGCGGCTCTGCCGCGGGGACGCGGCCCGGCTCACCGCGGACGGGCCGGAATAGACGGGCGCCGGCGCAGAGGCGCGCGGAGACGGGGTGCGGAGTCAGCGCCCGGGCGGGCTCCTGGGAGAGACGTCCGCGGCCGGACCCGGAGCTGCCGGGAAAGCCCAGGGGGCGCGCTGAGCAGGGGCGCGTGCGGGCTCCGCTTCAGGCTCCCGCTTTTTTGGGGGGCGGGGGTCGCGCACGGCACGCACATCCGTCCGCCTGCTGCTGCGCATGCGGGCTGACCGGTGCGGGGCAGGCTCTGGGACGCAGCTGCGCTGCTGGAGGGGCGGCGTCGGTTCCAGGGCTTGAATCGGAAAACGAGGCTCCGTTCCCACAAGTGGGAAGGTCCCATGAAATTACAAAGTCTCGCTGAGCCCGCGCTCACGGTGGTGCGGGATACTTCCTTCCCCGCGGGTCGTGAAGCTCGGGCTGCAGGTTCCAAGGGTCAGTCTGAGGGGAGAAGCAACACGCGGGCGTGTGGGTCTGGGAGACCATGACCAAGCGCCGGGCTTCGCTGTCGGGAGAGCGACAGGGACGTCCCGGGGAAGGCACAGGGTGCGAAATGCGTCCAAATGGGGCGGCGGGGGACAGAGAGAGAGAGGGTCACCCCGCCCCTTCCGTTGCAGGCTGGCTCACAGTCGGACCGACGCTGACCAACAGCAACTACAACGCGGAGACGTACGCGTCCTACTTCAGCGCCCCCAATTCCTACCTGACGGGGTGCACGGAAGAAATTGAGAGACTTCGGCCCAAGTCGCCTCCTCCCAAATCCAAATCCGATCGGGGCGGCGGGGCTCCCAGGGGCGGGGGGCGGGGAGGAACCTCCGCGGGCCGAGGGCGCGAGCGGAACCGATCCAACTTCCGGGGGGAGAGGGGCGGCTTTCGGGGGGGCCGCGGCGGCGCGCACAGGGGCGGCTTCCCGCCTCGGTAACCGTCAGCGCCTGGTCCTGGGCAGGCCCGCACTTTCCACGGGGAGGCTGCGTTTGGAACCCGCCCCGGCTCGCCCTTGGCCTTTGCCGGCCTCCCTGGGGGGTCGTCCCACGCGGCCCCGCCTTGTCCAGGGCAAACGCCTCATCCTGGCTCTTGTCCCGCGTGGAGCCGGACGGAACGGAGCGGCACAGAGGCCTTCACGTTCGGACACCGGGCGCATCCTCAGAGACGCCTGGTGCGTTGTAGAAACCGTGTAAGCGGACGCGGAGAAAGACCCGGGCCGGAGCCCCCGGCCGTCCGGCCGCTGCCTGCGCAGACGTGGGCGGCTGCTCGGAGCCCTGAGCGCACTTGTCCGAGGGCGGGCTTCTTGCAGGGTTCCGACATTTTCTTAATGCCACAATAAAAGGATACTTTTCTTTTCATTATCTTAAACTCTCCTGCAATTCAATTACATAACTTCAGAGACTGAACAACGTCACCTTCCAAATCAGGGCGGGGCGCGGGCGGTGGGACCGGGAGAGCCTGCCAGGCGGACTCGGGAGAGCTCGCGGCGACCCGAGTGGCAGCTGCAGTGACCCCACCGACCTCCCTCCCCGAGAGGCCGGCAGGACCCGTGTGAGTCAAAGTCCGCGCACGTGGACTCCGGCTTCGGCAGCTTCCCTCGGCGCGTGGAGGGAAGCGGCGGCCGCAGGAGGCCCCGGGCCCCCTGGCGCCGGGTGGCAGCGTCCGGGGAACGGAGCCGACGGCAGCGAGGACGCGGCATGACTTCTGGAGAGAACCTAACGGGAGACGGCAACCGAGGCAGCACCCTCGGCGTGAGAAGACGCCCGGCAGGCAGGACGGCTGCTGGCGCCGGTGCGAGCGGGGGCAGCTGTGGAGGCCGCTGGCCGCGAGGCTTCCACTCTTTCCTCCTGCGTGGAACTCGGACTTTAAATGAATTTCCTGACCGAAACGCCACTGCTGTTACTGGTATGTATTTCTTAACTGTATGGCTTTTCTAGTGGAACTCGAAGCCTCTGCTCTGGTGGGAGTCGCCGTGGCCTGCAGGCGAGGAGGGCCTGACCTGAGCCGACGTGGGTCCGCGGCCGCGCGTGCTGCTCGCGGCCTTCTGACTCCGGCAGCCGGTTGTCCCCATGCAAGGCTCGCTGTGAGGGCAGGACTGAGTCGCAGGACCAGGGCCGAGGCCTTCAAAGCCTGGTGGGCTGAGCTGGCTCACCCTGCAGCCCCAGCGGGCAGATACGTGCCATATCACAGTTGGGTGGAGGTTTTTCTGAAATAACTGTGTGTTTTCAACCTCAGTGATGACAAAGAGTATGGAGAGATGTCCAGTTGCCCAGAGGGTTCCTTAGAAATACCAGCTGGGAAGGGCTCGCCCTCCAGACACGACCTGCCTGTGGCCCGCACCCTGAGCCCAGCGGAGGGAGGCTGCCCGGAGGGAGGCTGCCCGGGAGTGCGCCTGGCCCAGCCCCCGCCAGGAGGTGTGGACGCAGTGTCGTCTTACAGACTGAGGAGTGGTCATAAAGGTCACTAGAAGCCTGTAAAGGTCACAGCATCATTTTTACGATCGAATCTTTACTCACTGAGGACAAGTTTCCAGTGAACATTAACTCATTATTCTGACCTCTTCGGACTTTTAATCAGCTTAACGTTTACATTTACATCTTACATTTTCACAGAATTATCTAGGAATCCAAAAAAGCAGATTTTAGTTTCACCTACTGATTCCATATTGAGGATAGAAGCTAGTAATTCTGAAATAACCCTGCACTTTTCCTAAGTTCTAAAAGCTCTAAGGTGAGCACCCCTGACGTTGCACGTAATCCCAGGTATGGCTGGCCTGGGCCGGGTGTGGGTGTGCATCTTCGGTGGCGACGGTGGTGATGCCGTGCCCTGCCCCCGCCGCCCCCACACGGTGGGCCTCGGGGGGGCCCCCAGCCTCGGTCCCGTGACTCCTGTCACAGCGAGCACCAAAGGGGGCGGAGCTGGTGGTGTCAGCTGGACCTTGTCGGGGGTGGGGGGTGGCGCAGGGAGGGTCCCAGACAGAAACTCTGCTCAAACCCGTGGAGAGGCAGTGAGGCTGAAGAGTGGGCGCCACCGATGGCGCCGAGAGGTGGCAGGACAGGGCTCAGGCATGGAGTCGGGGTGGCGGCCGGGCCGCGTGCTCAGCGGGCACGGGCCGGCTCAGCGGCGGCGAACTGCTCAGACACGGGCAGGTAGAAGCGCCTCCGGCGGGTGCTGAGCTCCTACCTCGAAACATCGACCGCTGGTCGCGATTACTCTGCGGGGAGCTGCCCGCTGGGCCACTGCTGGTTGTAAGTAGACACGGTTGTGGAAGGGGCCTGGGGGGAGGGGGGAGCCCCGTGACCACTGAGCCCCATGTCGCAGCTGCGGCCGGGGGTTCCTGTCATTCTTGCCCTAATTGCTGAATTACGGCTTTCTGATTAGTTACAGCAGCTTCCTCGAAAACCCCTAATGTTCCCATCCTGAATTTAAAAATACACGATCTTTGAAGTGCATACACAGTTCCAGATTTTACTGATTTGTTTCATACAGTCATTACTGACCTGACAAAGTGATGGCCCAGTTGGGACTTACTCTAAATAGTACTCTGAGTTTCTCATGTTTGGGAGCTATTAAAAACATCAATCTTTGCTTATCAGCAAGGCCTTTCTCAGAACGGTCCTGTCACATGGGGGCCACATGGGACTCGGCACTGTTCTGTCTTGATATTGGGTAGCAGGGACTAAACCTGAGCCTGGCTAACAAGCACATGTCATCCACTTTGAAGCTGTCCATCTGGGACTTCCCAGAAAGGCCATTTATCCTGCAAATCGAGCCGCTAAACCCTCTGGAAAAGCCCACCTCGCTTCCTCAGACACAAACACTGCCGCTTCAACACACAGGGAAAACTATGTCGCTGATTCTAGGCAGCTCTCCTCCAGGGGACTTCTTCCCAGCGTTGGACAAAATGTTACAGTGGTCAGTGTTCTCGCCTCTGTGACAAGAGACACGCTAAGGAGCATGACACCACGTTAGGTAGGTTTTGCCAGGCCGACGTCTGAAATAACCGAGAGCCCGAGGTGCAGGAGACAGGCCCGCGGCAGCTGAGCAAGCCGTGCTGCGCCGTGCAGTGAGCATGAGCTGCCTTTGCGGTGGCCTGGTGTCTCCTTGGACTCCTTTTGTTTGCACGTCAAAGGTGGGAGCAGTTGCTCACCCACTTACCTTGTCTGCGCGCCGGTCCCACTGGGGCGGGTTTGCTCAGCTCCCCTCTGAGAAGGGCCGCTCGCTCGGAGCGCCGCAGTACGCAGGCGGACTCGACCTCGGGGCCTGGATTCTTGCGCAGGTGAGGGCCGAGAACTCGTGCCCTGGGCCAGGGGGCGGGGACACTGCTCGGCTCCAGCCCGGGGTCACCAGAGGGAAAGTGGTGGGTCTGAGATGTTTGTGGGGCATCTCCCTACATTTTTGTCTTTTGTGGAATTAAAATTAATTTTCGTGGCTTAAAATTAATGTTGCTGACTAAGTACCACGTGCAAATTTTAGACTCCGCCCTATAAATACTGTGTAACCAATTTTACTAAAAGGAGGGGGAAAATACTGCCTCCTTTGGGGCAGGACACCATCACCTCCAAGCGTGTGTTGCCAGTGTGGAGTGGGGACACTTTGGGACCCCTGGACAGCAGCCGTGGACGAGCACCCCCCTGGGATGTGCCCAAAGCCACCCACCCGGCAGCAGGGGAGGGCGCAGAGGGCTTGGGTAACCACATCCTGCTGCCCCTTCTGGATGGTCTTCTTGTCTTCAAGTGAGAGGACAGAAGGTCAAGGGCACTTTTGCCCAGGGAGTGCCCGTTCAGTAGTTTGTGCAGGTTATGTGGCCAAGGTCATTGCTCAAATGCCTTACGGCACTTGCCCTCCTTCTACCGGAGAGCTCCTGACGGCAGGGTCTCGCCCAGGACTCAGAGGGGCTGCGCGGGGCACGGGGCCTGGCTGTCCGGGAGGGAGGCCCTGATGCCTGGGAAGGAGGTGGCCGAGGTGAGAGCCCATCGGCCCTGGCCCTGGCCCTGGCCGGGCTGCTCAGTGGCTTAGAGCACCGTCCTGCTGCCCCAAGGTCGCGGGGTCCGTTTCCAGTCAGGGCACATAGGAGAAGCGACCAGTGAGCGCAGCAGTGAGTGGAACAACAAAGCAATCTGTTTTTCTTTCTCCCTTGCCCTGTTCCCCTTCCCCCGCCCTCCCCAAAATTAATATTTTTTAAAAAATGAGAGCTTACTTTTCTACTGTATTGTCTTATTGAAATAAGATTTTTTTTTAAGTACATAAGCATGGTTAAGAATACTGTATTTATAAAAATAATTCCGAAGCAAAACTTAAACGATAAGCTCAAATGTCACTTGTCAGCCAACTCACTCCCTGAAGTCTCACTCCCACCGCCTCCCCGGGGTGCAACAGGGACACGCGCTTCCACCTGCCCCAGCACTCAGACAGGGACCGTGCGGTCCCCAACGGCGCCCTGCCTCTCTCGCTCGTGGGGAGCGCGGCCTCGACGCGCCAAAAGCACGAGTCGCCGGCCAAGCACGTGCAGGAAGGGGTTTATTGATACCGGCTGAGATCCGTATGTACAGCTGGGCGCCTTCCAAATTGTACAGGGAGCCGCTGAGAGGCTTGCACAGACAGTTGCAGAGACAACACAAACAACTGGAAAGTAGTTTGAACACATACAACACGTAATTATGAAAAACACGTAGAACCCAAATTGTTCTACCAAATAGATTCCGAGATCATTAAAAGTCTGCTATGCAAACCTGAAGTTGAAAAATGTGTTTGGTGAGGTGATGTGATTTTAAAAAATATAATGTAAAAATTAAGCCTTTTTTCCCTCACTGAAAATGGGAGAGGAACCAAGAAAACTTTTCATCCCAAATCTATACATTTTGAAAAATAATTTATACGTCTAGCACAAAGAAAGATCTGAGAGTGTTTACAGTCTGTAAACTGCCCTCGGCCACAGGGGCGGGGCCGCCTGCGGGGCTGCAGCTGCTGCCGGAGCCGTCCGCTCCCCCGGGGGGAGCCCTCCGCTGGCCTGACACCTGAGCACCCGCGGGATGTGGCGAAGGCCGGCTTGGAAAGAACTCAGAAGCGGCCTGCTGTCTGTCACCTGGAGAGTAGGCACCGAGAAGGAGGGGGGCAGTCTCCGCAGGACCCCCGGGGCAGGGGCTGGAGGGGGGCGGCCGTCAGTTGAGCAGTTGACAGACGGCCTTGTACACACAGCACAGGAAGTCCACATAGGACGACCCTCCGTCCAGGCTCTTGTCCTCCACCAGGAGCTGCCGGAAGGCCACCTCTGGCTGCTCTCGCTGCTTCACGATCGTGAGCTGGGAAACAAGAGCAGCGAACGAGCTGGTTACGGACATTTTCTGAGTGGAGCTCCAGTTCCTATGTGCCCACGTCACATAGTCTGCTGGGTGTGGCCTTGGAGGGCATGGGAAAGTGCCATCGCCCATAGGATGGGGGGGCGGGGGGTGCTCTCCCCCACAACCGCTGGGGGCCCCCAGCAGAGTGCTCAGGGAAAGGCTGCACCCTGGAGCCACCCAGCCTGGCCACAGCCACCCGAGACCACGTGCCACGCGCCCCACACAGCCGGCTATGTGAGAAGCCGCACACACTGCAGACAGCCCGTGGGAGCACAGGCTTCGGTAGGAAATGTGGCCCCGGGGAGGTTCGAGCATAGGGGGCCCCCATGTGAGGGGAGGGGACCAGAGGAGACGAGGTGACCGAGGAGATGACTGAATTGGCCGCGTAGGTGCAGATGTGTGGGCCCTGTGCAGGCGGCACCCACACCCGGGGGGGCATGCTACACCCGGGCAGGATGGCCCATCGTCCCTGTGCATCCCCAGCCCCAGGAGACTCCAGCGCTGAGCTTGAGAAGGAAGACAGGTGAGTCGCCAGGACTTGGCGACAAGGCCTAATCTCCCTGAGTTAGAGACGTTCTCAGTTCTTTCCCTCAAACTCAAAAAAGAAAAAGGCTCGCAAAGGCCTTAGGAGGCCAGGATAGCGGCACTTCTCAGAGATCATAAATCTAAGTTGTAAAAATAAAATTTTAAAAATGCTTTGAATGAGACTTCTAAGCACCGAAGGAAAAGTCATCTCAGAGCTGGGCGATGCTGCCCACGGCCACCAGACAGGGGAGGGGCCTAGCGTCACGAAGCCAACGGTCCCGCTGAAGCCGCCGGGGCTGCCGCGCTGACCACCACCGTTTGTGTGTATGTGTGTCTGGCGAGTAGCTAGACATACACAGAGGTTGGTGTGAGTTTTCTATCTTATAAAAATGTCGGACATGCATCTGTGATGAAATGCAGAAAATGAAGAAAAAAATAAAATCTCACTCCTACCTTCATTGAATATGGCCTCTTGTGTTGGATAATGCTCATTATAATTCTGAGTGTTTGAGAGTACGGGTTTCCCACCTCAGGCAGTACAGTCTACAAGGAAGAAAAGCAACATTTTAGTATAATTTATGGCATTTAGGGAGAAGCAGCAAGGAGACGATTAGAATGTTAAAGTTCAGAAACACCCTTCTCAACCACATATTTGACTATTGATTAGTTCATTTCCCTAAACATCAAAAATGTGAAAAAAATCGTTCCTCCTCCCAGGCTCGCATCCCCACCATCGAGCTGAGTTGCGAACACAAAGGCCCCCAGCTGTGGCCACGCCCAGCCCCCTGCCAGTTCCGGGATGCGCTCGCCCCCACAGTGGTCAGTGTGGGACCCTGAGGCATCACAAGGCTTGGGAGATGCCACCCAAGCGCCACCGTCCTACACTAAAACCCAGTGGTGGCTTCTCCAGGGGACTGTGGCCCCTCAGGTTCCCCTGCGCATTCAGGTATTGTCCGCAAACGACACCTGTCCGGCTGCACACGGCCCCAGGGATGTGCGGACCGGGTCCAGGTGCCGTCCAGGGCCACTGCTCAGCCGAAGCTACCAGAGTAACAGGCCCCGCGTGAGGCAGCCGCGGCAAAGGCAAGACAGAGCGGGCCACAGTCACACGTCTCAGGGAGTGACCTCGGCCAACGTTTTCACAGCTGTTTAAAAAAAGCATAAATCCACTGCTTATATCCCAGTCCACCTCCTACGGGGCTCCTCCAACGTTACTGCAGATTCTTTCATTCAACAAGCAACACACAGTAGTTGCGCTTCCTGCTTACGGCTCCAAGTGCCACCTGGCTCCTCAGAGAAAGCAACATTTGGCGTTTTCTTTTGTTCCTGTTCTGAAGGAGCCCGAGCCAGCACGTGCGGCCGCGAGGTGGGGAGGCGGGCCACCCATGCGCACACGTGGCAGCAGACACACAAAGTGACGTCGTCCGTGCACTGTGCAAGCAGAGGACGCTGCTTTAGGTTTCACAGAAATGTTCTTGAGACTCGTGGTTCTTTGTCCATTGAATTTTGGATTTTTTAAAAATTGGATTTCTAATCACTCCTTAATTTCAACCACATGCAGACATCTCACCATTTCTAAATCTCCATCTTCTTAAAATAAGTCTCTTAACGGGGTATGGGCAGCTTTAACTCCTTTAAAAACATACGTCTGACACTCATGACGGAAATGCAGTCTTCCCTGCGGGCGCGTGTCTAGCCCAGAACTGTAATTGCACCCCGCACCCAAGGCGCAGCCTACATATCTGTCTGCAAACCAGGGACCGGGGCCTGAGCGGCTGTCAGCCGGCCTGCCCGCGTGGTCTCTAAGACAGGCTGTCGTGGGCCAGCCCCGCTGTGCGCCTCAGGCATCAGCGCGAGCTGGGGGGCCTGCAGCCAGCACGGCCCGTGCACCCAGCCCCGCCTGCAGCTGGGGCTCCTGAGGAACCCTGCCGGCTCCCCGACACGCTGTTGCGGGCGCTCCTGGTGCGCTTGGGGTCCACTGCATTCGGTCCCTCCCAGCACAGGCGCTCGTCAGTAACGGTGCAGCGGGGGCGACGCAGGTGTTCTCACAGGGCCTCATTCTGCAGTTCGTTAACCTGACCGGTCCGCTGTCTGGTGAGAAATCTCTGCCCTGCCAACCCGGCAGCTCACCCCCGGGCGAGCCCGAGCCCCGGGGAGGACGTCCGGCCTCGGCCATGCCCGCCTGGGAGACTGTCCCCAGACCGCGGGACTCCCTGGCTGGTGACGAGAAGCAGATGAGACGCTGTATTTAAGGAGTTTAGAGCACAGCGACTGTCACACAGTAAACCTCAAGAAACGCTGGCAAGTTCTGTCCCAATCTAATACTCTCCGCAGACGAGTTTATCCCAGCTCATTGGTGCCCGTCAAATGTGAAATCCTTTTTTCTTACGCAGAACATTCCCTGCTTTTTCTTGTTTGTCATACACAGTTGCTCATGAAGAAAAACATTCAAGAATCCTTTTGTACGGTACTACAAAAAACAACGAGAACCGCCTACCATGTGTGTGTTGATGTGGGCCAGAGACGGCACGTTGAATATCCCTTGGATGAGTTCCGGCGGGCTGCTGACCCCCAGCCACAGGAACGTGTTCAGGCCGTTGGTGAGCAGGAATATTCCATCCTCCGAGAGGCGGGACTCGGAGCAGCGCACCGCAGGGGGCACCGCTGTGCTCTTGACGTCCACCGTGTGCTGGGCGGGCGGAGGGGAGACTCAGAACCCGCCTCGCCGCCCTCCTCCCTCCCTCCCGCCTCTTCCTCCTCTCCCCCCTCCCTCCTCTCCTGTGCCCATTTAGTGAGCGCCTTCTGCATGCCAGGTACCATTCTACACACTGGACAGTGATCCCTCCCAGGTACACAGCTAATGGCGTTTTGGGAGAGAGAAGAGACTACACACAAGTAGCATGTGTAGAGCATCGGATGGTGTGAAGTGCTGTGCAGGGAACCCGGGAGTGGGAGGCGGTGTGTTGGTGGAGGGGTTGGGACAAGACTCAGAGGGCAGAGTCCAGGGAGGCCTGCTGAGAAGGTGGCCTTTGTGTAGAGACCCTGGGAGACAGGAGAAGGAGCCGTGGGGGGGGCGGGGGGTGGAGGAAGAGCATTCCAGAGGGAGGGGCAGCCGCTGCCAAGGCCCCAGGCCGAGCCTGTCCCCGGGATCAGCAAGGCGGCTGGTAGGGCCGGTGTGGGCTCAGGTGATGGGAAAGAGGGAGGGACCAGAGGCAGCACTGGGCTGGGGCGGTGGGAGCGGGTGATCCTGAGGGTCCCGAGCAGAGAAGGGGTGTGAGCTGACGCCACCTTATCAGGACCACCCTCAGTCCTGGGCCCACAGCAGAAACCTGGGCTGCCAAGGCAGAAACCAGGGCGGGTTTCTTCAGCCACTGAGGCTGCTCGAGTGGCCCCGCTGCTGACCTGCCCACCTGCCGGCTCAGTTAGGGCCCCAGGCTCCTGATACGCTTGCGCCTGCACGTGCTCGCTCGCTCCAGGCACCCCACTGCCCGCCCACCACGCAGCCCGCCGTGCATAGGAGGACAAACCGCGTGCTCACTATGGGCAGGAGTTGGGGGTAGAAGAAGAGCTGGGAGTCAGCCACACCCATGGCCATGACCAGCTGCCTCTGGAAGGCCCGCTCGTCGATGGGGACCTCGGGCCTGCTGAGCAGCACGAAGCTCTTCAGCAGCGAGTTCATGTACACGGGCAGGACCTTCATGGAGTCTGGCAGGATCAGCTGAAAGACAGAGACCGGCGCGCGTTCTCAGTAAGACAGGACCGCCACTCGGAGGCCGTGAACAGAACGGGCAGCCGCAGTGCCAACCTGGCAGAGAGCAGGTGTGGGCCGGGGGCACCGGTGTGACCCCCTGCAGCCGCCGCCCTCAGCAGGTCGGTGAGAGGCTGCCCCTTGCGGGGAGGCTGCCCGGCCCAGGGACCCGGCCCCGCCCACCCCATCCCACGTGCTACTCTTGGCAAACAGGCAACACTCTGTCCCTCGGCTTCCTCGCCTGACAGCGCAGTCGCAGCCATCTCTATTCCTCGGCCGCGGGCCGTTACGAGGAGACGATGGGCGACTGATTTGTGATGTGCAGAGTAGTGCGCACACGTCTGTTACAGAAGAGGAACTGCAGGACTTCCGGACCTGCTCCGCCACTGTCCGCTTCCCGAGTTCAGGACGTGTCCTTCCCCTGGGTTTCCAGTTTAGACAGCGGACCCACCAGACAAACTCTACTTTTTCTTTCTCAGTCAGCACCGGAGTTCTTTTTACGCTCCCGGTATACCCTGCCGGCACCCTCCCGCCCGGCCTCGGAGCACACAGGGCGCCACGGCCCCAAGGAACGACAGGACGCAGCCGTGCCAGCAGCACAGCCTGCAGGGCAGAAGGATCACAGGTGACTCGCTGTGTGGCCCAAGCGTCTCCCAACATGGTTTTATAACAATGGCTGAGAATCAAGTCTGATCAGGGCCGCTTCCTTCCATTGAGCAGGAGGTCAGTGGACAAGGGAACAACCAAGAACGGAAGTGTACACAGCAGATAATGATCCTTCTCAAATAGAAACATCTGGTCTGCAAAGTCACGATTTCTTAGCTTCCTACTTCAATGATGAAGAGGAGTGTACACTTATCAGACTCCGCGCTGGAAAGAACATCTCCCCAGGGCTGTGTGGGGATCTGCTCCTCCCAGCACCCTCACACTAGGGGTCCACCCCTGCCCCCCAATGCAGCGAGACAGGGGGCGGGGTGGGGATCCACCCAGGCCGGGCAGGCGGGTGTCAAACAGCCCTGCGGTGGGGCGGGCGGGCGGCGCCCCTCACAGTGACCTCCCAGAGGACCGCGGTGACAGCGGAATGCACGCCTCTTCAGAGCAGAGCGCGCTCGTGCCACGTTTCCCTCCAGCGCGAGACGCTTCTCCCCGGCACCCGCTGCAGGACATGCCCTCAGCCCAGGGGAGCCCTGATCCAAAGACAGCGGCGCGGGTCCCAGCCACGCTGCAGTGCCACGCGGCCCCGGGAAGCTCTAGGCCGCTCACTGGCTTAGTGTCCCCTTTGATGGTGAATGAGCCAGGAAGGCTTCCCCTGCCTTCTTTTAATTCAAATCCTGCACCCAGAAATACAACACATGCAGCCACTGAGAGCCACGTCCAGATTTGCCAGATTGGGGGGGGGCGGGGCATGAACGGGAGGAGACACGCAGAAGGAGAGGTGGACGCAGGGAGAGTGGAATGAGGGTCAGTGCAGGGAGCACCTGAAATTCGAAGAAGTGGGTGGTGTCCAGAGACAGCCCGTCAGGAACTCTTCATACCCATTAACTTCTAAAATATGAAGAGCTCTGATGTTGATATATTATATTTACGCTTGTACAGAATAAAGTCATTACTGCCACGAGCTCACGTCAACTTTGTCGCTACCTCTGGAAAGTAGTCAAGCACGCCCGTTTCGGAAATACCCATCTTCAGAGCCACGGAGAGCCCTGTGTGTCATGACAGTGCTTACGTGCTAACACCCTCTGTTCACACATGATGCAGTCACCGGCAACCCCACACGCACGCGCGCTTTTGGCGTACTGAGCTTCCTGGTAGAGAGCGCGCAGAGGCTTGGGCGCTGCGTCCCGCTCGGCGGCTCACCTGGCTGGCGGCCGAGGGGCTGGCGCAGTTCTTCCGGTAGCACGCCAGCATGTGGGCGGTCTGGTTCACCAGGATCTCCCGGATGAGCTTCGTGGGCTGGTGCAGAACTGCTTTGAAAGCTGTTTGTACACAACAAAGGAAGGGCAGCTTTTAGCTCAGAAACGGATCCTGTCAAACCCTGAAAAGGAACAAGTTGCTAGGACCTCAGATGGCGCAGCGAGCTCCACGAGCAGGAAAGTGTTGAAGTCACTTGCTAATGCCACTCCCGGCTGAGCGTGATGGCCCTGCCAGTCACAAAAGGCAGATAAGTGGTCCCAGTGCTTCCTCAGAGTATTAGAAATGGAAGTCAACACCCACAGAAAGAAAGGCTGGCTTACTGTCTTCTGACACCCCGAATTCCTGCAGGCTGGATTGCTGCTCTTCTAAACCTTAGTGCAGAGTCTCCACTGGGACTTGGGGGAGGGAGTGGGAAAGAAGCAAAGAGACTCCACCTTCGGCCTCTGCCAGTTCACAGCTCCCAGGGCTTGGATGAGCGGCTTGGTCTACGGTAGGAGCCGCCTTCACCCAACGTGCCCATGTGCCCGAGGGCAACCCCCACACCGAAATGAGCCCCAGGATCACCAGGACGGGAACTGTACGTAGGACGGTGCGGTGGGGCCTGACTCAGCTGCCCCTTTGTTAATCTAGAGTTGGACATGCTGACTGGGCCCTTCACCCTTTGCGTTTATAACTCCTGAATTTACCCACCGGAAGGCTGCACCACCACAGTGCTTGTCTGCTACAAACTGGATTAGCTAACAGTCTTGACCAAATTACAGTCGGCCCTACATATTCGCCAGTTCCACGTCCATGGACTCAACCAGCCATGGGTCAAAAATATTTAAAAACAAAAAAATTAAAAAAAAAAAAAAAAAAACAGTGCTGTTGCTGACATGCACTGTGAAGTTAGGCCGACAATGGCCGGGCCTGTTGCGAACATGCACAGACTCTTTCTTGTCATTATTCCCTTACAAAACAACAGAACAACTATTTACCCAGCACTTACACGGTGTTAAGCATTGCGAGTCCCCTAGAAGGGACGTAAAGTCTACGAGGGGTTGTGTGTAGGCTGTGGGCAGATCCTATGCCATTTTATATGTGGGACTTGAGCACCGCAGATTCTGACCTCCCCAGGGGCCCTGGGAGCAAGCCCCCGCGGATGAGAGGGACCACCATCCTAGGCCGGGCGCGCTGCCCGCCCCCCCCCCGCCCCAGGCCCGAAGCGCACCTGACTTGGCGAAGAAGTTGATGAGGGCGTCGGTCTCGCAGCTCTTGTAGAGGTCGGCCAGCTGCGAGCTGCAGCTCAGCGCCAGGTTGTGGATGCGCAGCCTCCTCTGGCCCCCGACGGTGGTGTACAGCACGGCGCACTGCGGGCAACAGCGGCACGTGCCCTCCGGTGAGCGGCCCCCAGCGCGCGCCTGCTGGGCAGGCCCACGAGCCGCGGTGGGCGGCAGGGGTGCTGGCCGTCCCCCGCAGAGCCCCGCCTGTCACCGCTAACCGCTGGGCGGCCATAAAAGCAATGACAACCAACCCGTGGACTGGGTTTCTGTGTGGCTTTTCGCCAGTTTGAGCTGGAGTTTTAATGGGGCCGTTCACACACAGATACCTTTCCGCAACATTTCCCACAGCTTATGTTTTATGGCCAGGGGTTCGGGCCCAGACATCGTGCCTACGTGTTCTCGGGACCCACACAAGCTCCCTCCCCTGGGGCTGCACTTGGGGACAATCTGCCCATTTCCAGAGTGAAACCCTGTAACCACCCGCAATGATGCCAGCCTCTCCCCATTCTGGAAGGGGGCTGCTCGGGCCTGGAAACTGTGACCGTTAGAATTGTCTCGCTTCAGTTCACAGTCCCCAGTTTACTGACTCCAAAGCAAATCCTGTTCATTCTTGCTAAGAACACACCACGCTCGACACGGTGTCTGACGCACAGCAGGGGCACGAGGTGGGCCAGGGGGCGGGGCCTGAGAGCACCAGCACTGGCGCCCAGCGACGCAGACCCGAGGCCGCGGCCCGCACGCACTGACGCAGGTGCGACCGCACAGAAACACCGCGCGGGAATGGGGCACGGAGAACCCACGGCACAGCGCCCCGGTCTGATGACCTCCGCCTCGCGAGGAAGAGCTGCATTTCTTCCGTGGGGAGCCTAGCGCGGCCGGTGGCCCTTTGGTCTCCCTGCCGATCACTGCGGGCAACGCACTAAAGAGCAGAGGGCGGGACTCCGCGCAGGTCACCTGGATCAGGGCTCCGCTGTCCTCCCCGAGCTTGTCGTCGTGCTTGAACTCCACCGTCACCGCCTTGTCACAGTCGACGGCTGCCATCTCCACGTCCGTGGTGTTGTTCATGTAGATCCCGCCGAAGAAGTCGGTGGCTCTGAAACCTAAGGACGAAGGAAAAGGGGGCGTTTTGCTTCTCCTCATTTTGCCGCTGTTCTCCTCGTTGGCCATTTGGAGAGGGACGGTTATGCCACAGAGACCTGACAAGCAGCTACACGAAGGCTACCTGTGCTGGTGCGGACCCGCATTATGGCATCAAATCCTATCTTCTTCTCGATATCATTTCTGAGGTCGTTCAAAAATTGTTGGCTGTCCAAGTGTAACTGCAAAGATAAAATACAACCGATGCCCACCAGAGGGCAGTAAAACACTTCAAATAACAAGACTCATTTTTTAAAAAATCTTCATTAAAACCTACTTTATCCAGAAATCTTAAGAGTTCTTAACGCTTTTTTTATTTTATTTCATTTGCAATCTTTGGTCTTATCCCTTCAGCAGTTTACAATATAGACATGGCCAGACGATGAAAAGCGATCATCGACAGGAAACAGAGCACGAGCAGACGAGGACTGACGCCTGTCGCCCGGTGGCCCGCCCCGCGCTCCCACGCCGGGCACGGGGACCAGCGGCGCCCCGGCCCTTCCGCGCCGGTGAGGGCAGGAGCCTCGTCTCACTGGCGGGCTGGGGAGGGCCCGGCACGGCTCAGCTTCTTCCGTGCCCTCTTTCTGGGGACGCGGCGGCACATTGCCTGCCCCTCAACAGGCCAAGTTTTCACGGTGCCGGCGTCCCCAGAAAAAGCTCGTGACTGCGCCCCCCGCCCTGTGCCTGGTGTGTCTGCTGTCACAGGGAGGGCGACCACGGCCACCGGCCCGCAGACCTGGCCATCACGGTGCGCACGGCCTCGCCCTTCCCTCCCTCGCGCCTCGGGCCGGGAGCGGCTGGGTAGGATGAACTGGCCCCCAGATTGTAGCACTTAGAACACGTGGACGGCCACTCTAAAAACAATCTCTCACATTTACCGAACGTAAGATTTTATATGCAATACACAGGGTCCGGCACAAATAACGCCCCTTTTCTATTACAAAATCATAAGCGTGCAATTCTGTACCATAACAAGACCACACTCACATGACACTTGAGGTGACCTATTCCAATTAAAACTATAGATTATGACAGGCATACTACCACCCTGCCAACCACACTCAGGCCGGCCTCACCTCTGCCGGGCCGTGTGTTTTCCCACCACGGATGTTCAACTCCGAGCTCCGTGGGCTGCGAGGCTCAGGGCTGGGAGAGCTGCCGCCCCCGCCGGCCTTTCACCCCCCCGTCAGCTGCACACAGGCGGCTGCTCTGACCCCGGGCCTGAGCGCCAGGGCAAAGCCGCGGAACCCCCAGGGAACACGCGGGGCTCTACCTGGAACTTGTTGTACTTGTAGAGGGTCCCTCCCGTGAGCTGCGGCACGAGGCCCAGGGAGGCCACGTCCACGTACTGACTGGGGAAGAGGAAGAGCGTCACGCAGCAGCCGTGGGCCACACAGTCCCTGGCCAGCGAGTCGTAGACACTGCTCTGGGGCTGGAAAAGTATCTGAGGAAGGAGATGCACAAAAGGAGAGTGAAAACCACGAAACCTGTTTGGTTTAAATTTCCCATTCCTACAGAACTTGTACTGACTTTTTCTAAGAGAAAAGAAATCGTGTCCGAGCCGCACCCTGGCCGGAGAAGCAGACTGCAGCAGACTGCTCGGGCTCCGGCCTGTGGGCCACGCACCTGCCTGCACCCGCCTGCCCGACCCTGGGCCCTCTGACAGCTCCGAGAAGCCGCTCTGGGGGAGGCCGACCCGGGCGAGGCCCGTGTCCCGGCCCAGTCGCCCTGCCTGTGAGCGGAGGCAGCTTCCCCTCAGGGGGGCAGTCACAGGGAGTGGCCTGCACCTTCCCTCTGCCCTTACTTCTCTCCTCACGCCCCGGTCCTGCACCCCTACGACGGGTCCCCGTCCCTGACACCCCGTCCCTGGGTGACTCAGGAGGCCAGTCAGAGACACTCTTTTAATGTAGCTGCACTTCATGCAGCCGTTTTCTAGAAATAGAAAGCTTCTCTAGCTGTTGGCAAGTCTAAGTATTGCTATAATACCCAATGTCCTGGATTTTCATGGACCCCCCCCCCCATACACACACACAAAGCGCAGGTGCCCTCTTCCCTTCCCCCGAGGCGCCTCCGCTCGGGCCCTTCCGAGGGCAGCTGTTCCCCCACCTTCTCTTTGTCCGTGTTAATCAGCTTCTTGTCGTCTCTGTTCTTGAGCTTCCCGGGAGCCTCTGCCGTGGGCAAGGAGGAGTGGAAGATGAACAGCTTCCCGGGACACTCTGCGGCCTAAGTGAACAAAGTCACAGGAAGTGCCTTGGGAGGGGAAGTTCTGCTTTAAAGGGATCGGAAAACAACTTAAAGTATGAGCACTTCCTCTGAGCCAAGAACAGCGTGCATCTCACCTGCCCCCACGGTTACCTCGCACCCTGTCCCCCCTTTGTGCGCACGGGGACGGCAGGACGCGCAGTTTGCCAGCAAAGGGCAGCTCTGGGCCTGTACAGCCTGTCCCTCCGGGCTCAGCTCCAACGTCCCCAGCCCCGCACCCCCGCACGGGAGGCTCCTGGCGTTCTTGGGCTGCGCCAAGGGCCCTACACGCCTCCGTGCCTTGGCGCGCCGTCCCCTGCGCCTGGAGCCCCCGCCCCCGCCCCGCCTCCTCCCCTTGGCCTGGAGCTGCGCCCGGGGCAGCTGGCAGGTATCTGGTGGGCTATTTACTACTACTAACAAGGCACTTGGGTTTGAGGGTGCTTCCGTAAGACACGCCGGGAACTCAAGGCTGGCCTGTCCTAATGTGTCATGCTGAGTGACGCTCCAACGCGTTCCGGGAGTGCCCAGGGGCCCGCGCCCAGCCTCGTGTTTGCCGAGCCGGTCGTGAGCAGCACCGACGCGCAGCCAGGCAGGGGCCTGCGGCGGGCGCCCCGCGCGGGGAAGGCACGCGTCGCTGTCCGGGAAAGGCGTGTTAGTTCCAAAGACCAAACCCAGGTACAATTCGCAGTAAAAACTCACCATGGCCTGCTAAAAAGTTGGAAATTCTAGAGCTACTCTTTTCATTTCTCTCACTGTTATTACTATAAAAGTACCTTTTGTCTGTGTTAATTCAAGTAGCAGAAAAGGTATACACTTTTCAAAAACTCCATCTTCTCCCCAGCTCCTCCTGCCTGGCCCCCCAGTTCTCCCGAGGGCTTCGCTGGAATCAGCGCTCTGTGCATTCAGATCCTCTCTGCTCCCGGAAAGGCTGCCATTTTATTCCACTGTAGTTCAGGGTGTGGGTTGGAATCCCAGCCACTCCGTTAGCTGAGTGACCCTGGGCGAGTTACTTAAGGTCTCCAAGCCTCAGCTGCATAAAATATTACAGAAAACTAGTAACAACATAAATAGTGCTGAGAGAATTCAGTGACCCAGCACAAGGCAATAATCATAATTAAACACACAACACTGCCTTGTTAACATTACCTATGGTGTAAAACACTAAAGAAAAAAATCAGGATCTGTTAAAAAAAGGAAGTTCAGTCCTTTTTAAAAGCCGTATTTCTTTCTTTCTTCCTTATAAAATGGTTATGAATTTTGGGTTTATAACTTCGTCCATCACACACTCGTATGGTATTTTGTAAGTGCCAACAAACGAAAAAGCTCCCACAGCTTCGCGTGCTCTGTGGCTCTACAGAATTCACCTCCTTACCAAAGTCCAACCGTGCCACCTGAGCGTGGCCCGAGGCGAGTGACAAGTGTCGCCCCCGTTACGGAGGCGAGCGGGCTGAGGGCGGCTGGAGCCCCCTTGCTCGGCCTTCCGGGCCACGTCTGTCCCGAGAGCGGGCTCTCGGTGCCTGGACAGAGCTGGCCGCCCCTGCCCCGCCCCACTCTGCAGCTACGACTGTTCTAGAATCTGAGACGCTGCATTGCAGCTTCAGGTCCCCTACTCTCTTCTCTAGTCTGCAGGCCCCCCCGGGGGGAAGGACCGGGCTGTCCTGCTCGGTGCTTGTCCACGCGCCGCAGGGCCCGCCGCTCCCCCCTGGCGACCCCACACACCCTTGTGGAGTGGACGGAAGGCTACGCTGTAACTTCCTGAATCAAACCCAGGCATGTGTACAAATTATTTAAAGACAAATCCCCCACTAAGGGCCCTCTCTGTTCTCCTGCCAGTCCCGGCTCCCGGCTCCCGGGCTCCCAGGCCCCCGGCGGGACCTCGCGCAGGCCGGGCCAGAGGCTCACACGCAGCTGAGTGCTGGGGGCCAGGGTCTGAAAGACTCGGGGGGTAGGGACACCAGACACAGGGAGCTGGCGACGCAGAAGCAGGCCCCGCAGCGAGCGTGGCGGTCCGGCCGCCTGGTTCGAGGCCTTCTGAGAGGCGCGCCCGACGGGGGCCAGGTCGGCCCACTCCATCTTGGTGACAACAAGCACACACTTTGTGTTAGTGGCTGTCTGTTCTCTTTGCTTCAAGCTTATCACCGCTGATTGGCTATGGATTGGACGCGGCATCTCTGACAGGAAGTCAAGCTCTAACTCTAACGGGGAGCCGGTTCTAACGTCTTCACTTTGAAGTTCTCTCGGGGGCCCCACTGCCTGTCCCCGGAAGGCGAGACTCCTGTGCTGGCTGCTTGTAACGCCCTCAGGTGGGGGCTCACTGGCGGCAGCCCCCCACCCTGGGCCTCCCGCAGGACGCTTTGCTGCCCCTCACGATTGCTGAGCGCGCAGTTAATGACGCCGCGTCTCGCATTCGAGTCCCGTCTGCCCCGCAGTGCAGGGCCTCAGAAGCAGGCGAGGCCCCAACCCGCCTCCCAGAGCCCAGCACTTCCCGCATCCTGGCGGCCCTCCCGCCTGCCCCCGACCCTCGTGTCCCCCGGGAAAGGGAGCAGGGGTTCCTCTTCAGATCTGGTAGCTCAGATACTGCTGAAATATTTTTAAATAGATGATATAAAGTTCACAGAAAAGCCAAAGGGAGGAGCTCGACAGGAAACGCTGGCAGAACCAGGGCTGGCCTGCGGGCGCCGCGGGGAGCCACCCACCCGTGGGCAGGGCCGCGCCCTCCTGAGCTCCCTGGGCGTCCGGGCGGCCTCCAGCTGCCCACCCGCGTCACCGCAGGCGACCTTCCTCCTGCGGACGCACGTCAGCTGTCACCCTGCACCTGCGGGCCCGGGTGGGGCCACGGCTCACCTTCAGCGCCTCCATGCCGGCCTGCACGACCGGGGCAAAGACGGTCTCGTTCTCGTTGGAGTCGGCGAACATCTCGGGAATCTGGTCCAATAAACTGCAAGGGACACACAGGTGAAGGGTTCAGACAGCATGTTTGTAACAGACTCCAAGAAACCCGTCTCTCACATTTCAAGCCTTGGCACACAGTGTTGCTTCAGCCCTGGCCACCTCAGGGCGCACCTCGGGGGTCGTGCCTGGGGAGTCCCGTCCCGGTGGGCCGGGCCCCCGAACAGGCGGTCGGGTTGGAGCATTAGGAGAATCACACTCTTTGTAGACAGTTTTTCTATTCATTAAATTACTGATCTCTTAGACTGAATTCCCAAATAACTCTTTATCATCCTTATCACTGAATACACAGGAAATAGCTGCCCTGTGTTAACTGTCCAGCAAAGAGAAGGAACTGATAGGGCTGCATGTGAGCAGTAAATAAACTCCTTCTTTTAAAGACTGGTCTACATTAAAACGCTAGAGAACTAACACAAATGATGGAGTTTTATAACCCCTGGGTTCCAACTCCTTGCTAATGGCAACACAAAATAATGTGCGATTCAATCAAAACGAAAACAGACACCCGATTGCGCCTACATTACGAAACCGGTGGCACTTACTTGTGGATTACAGACTGGGATTCCTGGTAGTTGACAAGGAAGCCATCCAGCAAAGGAACGAAGACCTCGCTGACGTCGGTTACGACCATCATCTGCGGCTGCGCCAAGTTGCTCTTGACGTTAAAGAAATGGAGAACTTTGTTATAGGTGATAAAACCGACTCGAACTGCGGACGTCTCTTCTTGCTCGTCCCTAGAAGGAAAAAAAAAAGTGTGAGGTTCTTTCTTAAATTTACAAGGGAGAGCCTTCTATCAGAAACTCAGTATGTATACGTCCATAAAACACATGGAAGACGTGTTTAAAGTCCGGGTCTGTTATCGGTTACCAGATGTAAACAATACTGAGTCACAGTGGCTGGGGAGGGGGATCTTCCAAAAAGAAGTCGGTTGATTAAAAAAAAAATCAAAATTCTAAGTTAAAAAAATGAAATAGATATTATAAAAACATTTGCTCATATCTCTTTAATCTCACAATTCTTCTTATACTGATTCTCAATCCAGAGCAATGTCTCCTAATAAACAAGTCATGCTTCTTCCGTCCTTTAGAAACACAGGCCTCTCTCAGGAGCCACCGGCGGGAGGGAGACAGACGGGGCGCGGGCAGCGGGGGGAAGGGCGCGCCGCTGCTCGCCCTCCGCCGAGGCTCTCCGCCTGCGCTCGGGAGACCCCCGCGGACACCGGCTGACTTGGGGGCCACGTGCCACGTCCATGGTGTAGGGGTGTCACTAAGTCACAGATACGAGCTGAGGGCAACTCTCCCTAGGCAACAGGGAGCCACAGTGACGGTCACAGCTCCGCCGCTGCAGCAGAAGGTCGAAGTGTCCGGGGGGCTTCCAGGGCAAGGCCCTCATCCCTGAGGGGGGTCTGAAGGCACGGACGCCCTCACCGAAGCCCGTGCTCGGCTGATGCGGAGCCGAGCGGTCCGGACTCCGGTTCCATGTTCACTGAAGCATGTGTGTGTGTCTGTCTGTCCCTCTGCCCTAAAGGGGCGCACCCGAGCACCCCGAGGCTCTCCCTCACTTCCGGCGGTGGCTGTAAGGCATGCTGAAAGGTGACGGCAAAGCCCCAGAAGACAGAGGCCATTTGCTTCGACGCTCCGATAGCAGCAGAAAGGACGCCGCCGAGGGGACACGTCTTTGAAGGCGAGCGTGGCGGGCTCAGCCTGCATCCCAGGCACAGGGCACGAAGAGCGACCGAGGCAGGAGAAGGGAGGAGGGCAGCCCCAGATCAGGGTGTCTGAGGTTCCGGACTTGAGGAACCTCCTTTGCCGCCTCTGCCAGCTGCGGGGACGCGTCCTTCACCACGGCCTTCACAAATGACACCTCACAGCCCCTCCCCAGGAGGGCCGGGTAGATGCTTCCACTCTGGACTCCTGCACCGTTTTCAGAAATGGGGACCCTTACACTTTGTAACTGCGCCCACGCCTGCGCCCACCCACGCACACATCCCTCCGCGTCCCTCACGGTAGCAGCCACCGAGGCCCCAGACAGTCCCGCTGCCCTCCCCGCCCTGCCCACGGGAAGGCCACTCTTCAAGGCCCTGCGTGGGCCCCGCCCGCTCTGTGAGGCACCCCCTGGTCGTGCTGACCAGACGGCGCTTCCCCGCGAAAACGCCTAAGAGTCGTTCCCACGGGGCTCTCAGAAGACTGCCTTTCAGTTAATATCTCCTGAACCCGAGAAGCCAACCTGTGCTCTCTGCTCCCCTGGGGGCCAGGCAGCCGGGGAGTCGGGGCGCTGTGGGGTGGGCACAGCGAGGGTGGCCGCTGTGCCCGACTGTCCCCGTCCCTCGCCTTGACGCTGCGCCGTCAGCCCCCTGGGGGAGCGGGCACGGCCCGGGGCTCTATCCAAGGCCCGGCTGCCGCCGCCTTTTATCACATACACGAGGTCAGAAGCGTCGCGGGGCGTCCATTCTCTTCCAGTGGTTAACTTGGAGTCAACTAAGGCAAAAGGCAGAAAACAAAAACTACTGGCAAGAACGCAGACCGGTTTTCCCACTGGATTTGGACATTTGCAAGTGCCGGGAAGGATCATCGTGGGATTCATGGGCTCACTTAAAATCAAATCAACATTTAGAAAAAAATCTACTCAAAACATCTCACGTTACTGCAAAACATTAGTACATATTTCCATGGGAACTTTGTTTTTTAACTTGAGAAACAAGGGAATGATCTTAAATTTTTCCTTTCTATCAGTACAACTGCCCCGTTAACTCATACCCAGAAGAAAATGAAACTGCAGCCGGCCCTCCGCGCTAATTCTGCGCCGGCCGCCAGGGCCGAGGGCGCAGAGCCGGGCAGCGCGGCATTGCCCTGCTTGTCCACCAGCAAGGCCCCCGGCGCCCCTCCCGGGGATTTGAACCGACGACCAGCAGAGCAGCGCTGAAGCCTTTAGTAACTAGATAAGCCGGTGTGGTCCAAAATCAAGCATTCTGAACATTTAAGCTACAGCAGCAATAATATAAACACTCAGGGGGGAAAAAAAAACCCAAAAATGAGCCCAATCTGCACAAGAGGAGAAACACTGGAATCTCTCCTCTCCTGTTCCGGAGAGGTTGGACGGAAAGCAGGGCGAGCCGGCAACGTCGAAGGTGTAAGTTCCGAGTTTCAGGAGCAAAGACCGGGGCCTCCCCTTTTCTAACGGTCCGCTAAGCAACGAACGCCCCTCAGGCACCGCTCGCGGAGCGAGGCCGGCCGCGCTCTCTAAGGGCCGGGGCGCGCCACCTGCTTTACTTCGGAGGAGTCTGTGCAAAGGGTGGCAACCTTACCATGAGCGAGATAAAGTCACATACAGATTTGTTCTACAAGGTAAGGCGAGGACAGGTATTCTTCCTTCACTGAAAACTCTTAGGAGAAACAGCCCCAAAGAAGCAGGGAATACCCAGCGTGTCCTGCTATATTCCTGTCCTCAATTTCTCTTGTCTTTTGCCAGAGCCACACGCCTGCCCGAGCCACACGCCTGCCCGAGCGCCCCGGCCGAGGCCCGGCCCCTAAGGAAGGAGCAGGGTCTGCCCGTACTCCTGGCAGCAGCGCATAGGCGTCCCTCCGGCAGGGCCGCAGGGACGGGGCCCTGAGGGAGGCAGCCTGGCGGGAGCCGCGTGAGAGGGGAGAGCCCACCTGCAGTCAGAGGCCTCGCCTCTCCTGCGGACGCAGGCCCGGGCGCAGGCAGCCCGGGGGTGGGCGGGACACAGGCGCCCTGTGGGGCAGACCCGGCCCTGCTCGGGCGGCCGGCTCAGCCAGGGGGCCTTTCTTGTGCCACCTGCCGCGTGCTCTCGGCTCCTCCTTCATCTTGGAATCTCGTCCCAAAGCACTTCAGTGTTTTTTTAAACATCGCACTCCTTCCCCAAACCATCCTCGGGAATGGTATGACTTTGGCGTCAAGGATACCAACGAAACTGCTCCTGGAGGCCCAGAGTCACCCGTCTGCATGGCCCAAGGACGGGGGAGCCCCGGGCTGCAGCCCCGCCCGAAGCATCCCTGGCCACGTGGGGGGGGGGCTTGAGCACAGGAAACAGGGCAACCACGGCTTCCCAGCCTGTGCCAGAGGCATGTCCTCTCATGGGGAGGCGTGGGCCCTGCTCCCAAGTCTCTCACCCGGCACCAGTCCCGCCCCGGGCAGTGAGCCTGTGCCCGGGGACACGGCCGCCTTCCCTAACCGCGCCCCACCTTCCCCTCGGCGCCACCCCTGCGGGGGCAGGAGAGCCACCCTTGGGGTCAGACAGCGCATCACGGGGGCAGGCAGGGACCTGGGACAGCAGTTCTCTTTCCTGGCAGCCTGAGAGAGTTCCACCACATCAGCAACCACGGGTTTCCCCTGGAAAACCAACACCTTCGGAAGCGAACAGCACACCCCCCAAGCGCCTCCCGACACACGGGGCTCTCCTTGCAGCTTGGAAAGGAAAGGGCCATGAGCGCTGTCTACGTGGAGCCATTTTTACCCGTTTGTCTCTTTTGCTTTGTACAGACGATCACTCTGACTTTGGAAGGGTTGTAAGGATGGTGCTGTGTGTGTGAGGAGCCGATAAGGACCCAGTGTCCCCACCGGCAAAGACCCCGGGGCGGTCGCACCTGCTTTCTGGCCAAGACATGCATCACCACAGTGCGGAAGGTTCCTTACTTGGGCAGCCTCTCCAGCACCGTCTTCAGTTCCTCGCAGATGAGCTTCACGAGGCCGCTCTTGATGTTGCTGTAGGAGACGTCGATCATGAAGATGAAGGCGGGGGCGTTGGGAGGCTTATTGTTCTGCAGGAGAGCAGACAGACCGCGCGGTTACAGAGCGCACGCGCGCGGCCGCGGGAAGCCGCGCGGGGACTCTGCGAGGCCGGCGGGGGGCCTCCTCACGCTGGGCCCCAGCGTCTGTGGGCGGAGGCACCTGTCGGCACGCAGCCTGGGCGCTGCCAAGCCAGGACGCCGTCGCTCTCCCGGGTCCGACCCGGGCCGGCCCTGGAGTCGGGCCACTGTCCCAGCGGGGCCAGCGCCCGCCTGGCTGCGAGGCTCCGATGACCGCCCCCCCCGCAGGCCCCACAGTGAGCCCGGCTGGCTTGTGACGTTCTGCCGTGTAGCAGAAACATGACGGCAGCCGTGACGAATTGTGCCAAAAAAGAGTACGTGTGATAATTAGTGCCTGTTTTGAAACTGTAGTCAAACCTCGTTAACTTCATCTCGTTACTCTCAAATCTCTTCCTTGATAAGCCTTTTCAATTTTAAAAATAGTAAATTTCATATTAAAATATAACTGTATACTTTAAAAAACTGTACTATATTGTTAAATACTTACCTATTTCTAACATACTTAGGATAAAAAATGGAACAGCCAACCTGCCTCTCTGCACGGCAAGCACCGTAACCTAAAGCCGGTGCCACACGCGCAGCTGGAGCTTCCGGCCCTTCCCGGCCGGGGCTCCTGGGACGCAGTGCGGGCCCTTCGGTAGGATCTTACCAGGGCAACGCTTAGAAAGGCAGTTTGCCACGGGCAAATGGCTGCAGCGCCGCGCGCTGACAGAGAAAACAAAGAAGTAACACTAATTGAACTTCATAATTAATGAGAAAAATGTTCTACAGATTGTTTTTTAGTAGTTATAATTTTAAAATGAGGTGATACCTCCAAATTACCTTACTGGTTCATTCTGTAAGTACTACAAGACTAGATGGAACATTCTTCTAATAAAAGCTCTTCATTTGAAATGAGGGGAAAAATTACGGGTCTTACAAATCATCCATCTGACAACCTCAACGTGTGGCCACGTCCAAAACCAGACCAACGAGCAGAAGAGCCTGCTGCTCTCCATGCGCGCGATTTCTTGCAGCTCATCCCTGATGCCAGCCAATCTAACTCGTAACATAGACTTACGCTCCTGTGAATCGGATGAAAGTAACCATTTCCGTCCATTACGCCGAAACGCCCTTGTGACCCCCGGACCTCCCGCGCGCCCCGCTTACCGCCCCGCCCTGCTCACGCCGGCGGGGAGCCCCGATGCGACTGGGTTCCTAGGCATCGCCCCCCCAATGGCACGTTCGCCCCAAGGGCATCGCCAGACGCCAGGGCCGAGGCTTGAAAACATGCACCGCACTTGACTGCTCCCTGTCTCCCATCGCTGAGTCCTGCAGCTGGTTCTTCCGAGAGGCTCCCTTCACGGGTTTTACCCCGTCCCTCCCTGCCCTCATCTGGAACTTTGTCTTCTCGGGCCCAGACACTATAACTGTCTGCTTCGCCTGCAGCGTGGCAAATGCGGACCCTGCATGAACCTGGTTTTCAAGGGCTCCTTCTTCCGCCCACCTCTCCGAGGTCTCCCCGCCAACCCCGACAGCGACTTGGGCTAGACCTGCCCTGGCCCCCGTCTCTCGCCTGGGGACTTGACGCAGCCGAGTGCACTCAGCTTCTTCACTGCGCTCTCCTCGCCTCACCCGCTTCCCTGGCCACTGCTTCTGCTTCTGCTTCTGCTTCTCCTGTCCTTGTCCTGCTCTGAGAGCACCCGTACCCGTCCCTGTCCCCGTCCCCACCGGAGCACCTTCACAGGAACCTGCCTCGTTTGCTCAGCTGGGACCGGCACCTCCACACGGGCAGCTCCTCAAATGCTCTGCCGCGGCCTCTCCTGAGCTTGGGCCGCACCCACTAGCCAAGGCGCCCTGCTGGCGCCTGCACTCAGCAGCCCAGAAGTCTGAGGACGTGTCTCCTGCCACGCTGGCCTTTCCTGTGAGAGGCGTACAGACACACGGCCCGGACCAGTCTGGGCTGGGAACCACTTTCCCTCGGTGGATGTGCCCCCGGCTTGTGAGGCCCTCTGGGCCTCCTCTAGTCCTGGACCCTGCGTGGACCCTCCCTTTCTCTGTCTAAATTACCTTTAATTGCAGTAAAATGCACAGGACACCAAACCCACCACCTGAACCCCACGTAAGTGCGCACCTGAGTGGCACGAGGGGCGGCCACACTGCTGCACAGTGTCACCGCCCTGCCCCGTTTCAGGACGGCGCCGTCCTCCGGAACTGAGGCCGCGCCCGCTAGACAGTCACCTCCCATTCCCCGTCCCTGCAGCCTCTGGGTGCCCCGCTCCGGCGTACATTCCCCCAGTCAGCCTCCGCGAGTCTGCCGCCCTGGCTGCTTCGTGTGCCTAGAACCCTCCGGTATCTGCCTTTTACATGACTGGCTGCTTCACCTCACGCGATGCCCTCGACATTCATCCAGGCTGTACCACGTGTCAGAATTTCCTTCCCCTTTAAAGCTGAAAATACTCCACTCTAGGCATGTGACACGAGTCGCTTGTCCAGCCATCCATCGATGGAGACCTGGGTTGCTTCCACCTCTTGGCTGCTGTGCGTAACGCTGCTACACACACGGGTGTTCAAATGCCTCTGAGACTCTTCTTTTGATTATTTGGGGATACACACCCAGAAGTGGGACGCTGGGCCACACGGCCACTCTATTTTCGGTGGTTTGGGGAATTGCTAGGCAGCCCCCACGTCCCCTCGCGTGGACGCCTACACCAGCGTCTCCCAGCTGCCGCCTTCAACCCCTCACCTCCTGCTGAGAAAACCGCAGTGGGGCAACCTTCCCCGGGGCCGGGGGCCGGGCACAGGGCGGCCGCCCCTGGGGTCGGTGCACGTGCCACGCTCGGCGCTGCCAGCAGAGCCCGGCGCACACCAGAGCGCCCCACGCCGCGACAGGCGGGCGAGGGTGCGGCGCGGGGGCGGCGCGTGCTGGGGCTGGTTAGTGAGCCCTGAGTGGGGTGGGCGCGTGGAGACGGGACGGAGCGCAGGGCAGGCCCGGCCGGCGGACTGAGAGCCACGCGCCCCTCGCGCGGGGCAGGCGCGATGAGCGAGGGCGGGCGGAGGCTGGGGACCGTGTCACGGGCGGTGCAGCCCCTTCCTTCGGGGTTCTCTAATTCTCCTTTAAGTTCATTTGGTGTTAAAAACACACGCATAAATCAAGTAAGCTCTTCTCCATCATCCAAATCTCTACGGCAACTCATTATTATACTTTATGTACATTTAAATCATAATTAAATTTGAAGACATTTACAGCATCTTTTATTATGAACCTCACTTGGAATAATAAAAGGAAGAATAAGCGAACAAAACCTCTTCAAAATGTACAGTTTTGACTTGGTCCCTTGCCTGCTGGTGGGAATTTCCCATCAACTGGGCGCCTGGGACGTTTCCAGATAATAGAGTTTAAGATACTGAGACTTTTGTTCCCAGAAATTTATCTGACTCTCTGCCTAGTTTCTACTAAAAAAAGCATAAAATCAGGATAATGTGACTTTTTGGCAGAGCACTGGAAACTCAGAACGCAGCTAGATTTACGCTGCAGTTCCAAAGACCAGGGAGCAAATTTTCCGCCCCCAGTTACTAGGGATTCATTACATTTAATTAGAACAGTTGTGTTCCGCCTAATCAGTCTCCCTCAGTCAGCAGTGTAAGGAACACCCTGTACCAAAGTAGCTGGGACTTCAGGACCCATTTTTCCCTTGAAATAAAGCATTTGTACCAAAAAGTTATTACGTTTCCTAAGCTATGTTCAAATGTTACATTTTAAACTAATAAAGCATTAACCTTTAACAACTGGTTCTATGTAAGGTAGTAAAACACAAAACATGCAAAACACTAAAATAAATGCCAAAGGTAACTGAAAAAAATGTTTTAAATCCGAGCCATCGCACCCGTGTTCTCTGTCATTTACCCTCAGGACAGGGAGCGCGCCCCAGCCCGCGCCGGGACACCTGAGGCCGCGCGGGGCTCCGGGCCCTCACTCACCCGGCAGTAATCCAGGGTGGCCACGTACTCGTACGACCCCAGGGACAGCTCCGGCTTCTCGTAGTGGTCCAGCCTCCGGCCCATGTGGTCCAGGTGTTGGAAATAGAAGGGCGGGACTGACAAGACAGACGGGAGAGGAAAGCTGCGGTTTTCACGACACAGACCAGGTGGTGAGTTGTCAAAATTTACTGCGGGAGGAGAGGGGTTGGTACGAGGGGAAGCAGGGCTTTCAAGCTGGAGTGTAGTGTATTCTAAACACCCACTATTTAAAAATCCTGTCCTGGAATGAGGGAGGGTTTTCTTTAAAAAAAAAAAAAAAAAAAAATCCCCTTGACCTTTCTGCAAGTAATTGATGACGAAGAATAGTTACGATTTGGACACGGGAGAGTCACAGGGTAAAAGCTCTGGTGCTCTGAAGTTGTCACAATCCAAATGTTATTGTCCCCATTTAATGGCCTCTTTCAGAAGGAACTCTGGCTTTTCTCACTATTTCAATCTCTAGTGCACCTAACCGGTACACAGCGGCTCCTTGGACCGCACTGTGACCTACAGCATTTCTTATCCCCAGTAAGAGAGGCCTTCAGCCACGGGAGTCTGCCCGGCAGCCCGCGCGCGTCTGGGCTTCAGAGTGGAGGGATTGCCGCGTTAGGGGGCGTGGACGCCGCTCCGACCTCGGCGCCGGCTCGGGTTGGACTCGGCCGCCTGCTGAGGCCCGTCCGGCAGGCGGCAGGGGGCCGGCCAGCGCCCGGATGGCCGGGGCCGCACCCGCGCGCCTGCACACGTACGGCCGGAGGCCGACTGGGCAGGTCCCAGCCACGGGCGAGAAGGGGATGCAGGACCACCGGCAGGGCTCTGGTTCTAAGCGTTTCGCAAAGAGCAACATTTTCATTTGTGAAACCACGGAAGTGATGGCTTCTCTTCTAGAACCAACGGCTCGTTGTCTTTATTTTCAGTTCTGAACTAACATGAATTTCAATGGGATCACAAAATGGGATTTAAAAATACTCATTGACGCTTGAGTTTTCTATTTTCTTACCATATAATGACCATTTATTTTAAACCAAGTTTTACAGGACTCACATGTACAGATGGATCTCTCAACGTGGAAATGTCCATGTCTTGAAAAGATTCGGGACATGGGACACGGCCAGCGTCAGCCAAGCCACGTGAACACGAGGGCCCCTGGCGGCGACTCCATGACCCTCGTTTGGGCGGGGGCGGGGGGCTGGTTAGCGCCCTGCAGGCGCCGCCGTACAGGGCTCTCTCCAGGTGCCAGCGTTCGCGTTCACTCACACATCGGCACGTAATGTGTGAGACTCCTTCCCTCCACAACGAACCGATTTCATACTTGTCAACACTGTACACACGAGACTGCCGGTCACCCTGCCACCTGGCACTGCCCTATGACACCTGCCTCCCTGCAGGCCTCTGGCCCCACAGGGCCCGCGGTGCCGTCCCCGGGCCCTGTGGCGGGAGGAGGGGAGCCGGGGACAGCGCCTGCAGGCCTCTCTCTCGCTCCAACCAAGTCCCGTGTCCTCTGGCCCTGAGGGAAGGCGCAGGTGTGAGTGTCAGCCCACGGGGCCTGGTCTCCGCGCGGGACAAATCTCGGCGCCGAGTGTGCACGACCCTGCTGCACAGCGAGCACGCAGCCACCGGGTGTGCGCCCCATGGGGGGCTGCGCGGCGTCTCTCCCAGGGCGGGGCTGGCCCTTGCGGGCACTATGCCAGCACTTCGGGTGCACGTGCAGGGACTTCTCAGCAACCTGGGGATCCTGGACACGCCTGGGCCCCCCCCCCAGAATGCCGGGGGCGGCGTGAGGACCCGAGGAGCTGGCAAGCATGGGGCGGCACTGAACGGCGCACCAGGCAGTCTCTGCCTCCCTCCCTGTGACCGCGCTGCCCTAAAGCGCAGGGAAGGGAGGGGTCCCAGAGGCCTGGGACCCCGGCACCTCGAGTGCGTGACAGCCAGACCCCACCCTGGGTGACAGGAGAGCAGGTGCCCCTGCAAAGCACAGGTGAGCGCGGAGCCGTTGGGACGGTCACTGTGCCCCATGTGTGCAAGTCACAGCTGGAGCCAGGAGGGACAGCGAGGGCGCGGCTCGGTCCTGAGAGGGACTGGGACCAGCGGTGGCCTTCCTCCTCCGGCCGCCTCTAAGGACCGACCCAAGGCCTCGAGAGACCCCTCCGGGCGCCCGCCCCGGGCCCTCTGATCGGGCAAAGCCACAGACACGTGGGCGGGAAACGGGGGGACGAGCGCCACCGTCCCACCGGAGTCCTCGGGAGCTGAGGGCCGGCACCCTCGGCCCGGACAGGACACTGTGCCCAGGCTCCCCCGCCGTCAGGAGGGGCGGCGGCCGCGGGGACCTGGCTCTGGGCGGCGAGCGGCACACGCATCAGAGCGACTGACATGCTGGCAGCACGTCCACACGGGTCAGGAGCAGAGGGAGACAGGACGCGTGGCTCTGAGCCCTGTCACACGCTTCCAGGGAAACGCTACATGCCAGCGTGCGTGGGACACTCTTGGCTCGGGCGTGGCTTTACTGGGCACCAAAGGACTAAACACAGAGAGTGTCACGAGGCAATAGCCGTAAGCGCTTGCTGCAAGTCTGCAGCCTCTCCATCATCAGGGACTTCGTCCTGCAGTGAAACTGAAAATACAGGGAATGTGGGGAAGCCCCTCGTATTAATGTGTAACACTGGAGGGGAAAGCGATATCCACGTTAAAATCCTCAGTTACAACCTCGCTTTTCCTAAACACTGATGCGCTCACATTCAAGGATAACTCAGAGGAAGGAGGAAAAGCCTCGCCAGTTTGTCGTCTGTAAACACAGATGAAATGCCATTTCCCTGGGAAGAAACCCACCGGCCCAGGCTCCATATGGGACAGGGAGCCCCTCAGAGCCTCTGGGAAACGCCCGGGCCCCACGTGGGAGCCCCCGTGTCTCCTCCGAAACTCAAGAGGCAAAGTGAAGCTCGGCCTCTCCTGCTGCAGAGCACGGCCCGGGAGGCTCCCCTCTGCCCCCCGAGCGGGGCTGGGGGCGAGCCCTGGGCGGCCAGGAAGGCTCCGCGTCCCACCGCCCCCCCCCCCCCTCCGCCCAGTGCCTGGATGCACTTGCCTACATGCAGAGGGGCGCGTGGCGGCACGGCCGACTCACCTTCGTTCACGCAGCTGCAGAAGCCGCACTGGTACCTCCTTCCGCCCTCGATGAACTGCATGAATGGGCACATGTAGGCCTTGCACCGGTTGCATCGGACTGGCCCGGTCTCTCCGTGATTCACCAAGAACAGGGGGGCCTGCGGGAAGCAAGCGCAGTGAGCGGGCGGGGGCAGCCGCGTCCCCGGGCACCTCGGCAGCCGCGCAAGGGTCAGGACCAGGGGCTGCTTGGCCCGTTGCGTTCGCCAGGAGCGCGAAGAGGCCGCTCTGACGCCTTGTGAACCCAAGGCAGCGTCCTGATGCACATTAATGGAAGTGGACGTCTTTTATAGGCACACGTGTATACACATATATTTACGTGTGTGTATAATTACCTATGTGAAAACAAAGAAACACTAAAAGAATGAAACTAATATTAATAACGCCTATGTTCCAAATGCCCTTGACATCTTGTACGGCGCATCTTGCTAAGTTTGTTCATGGGCCGTGAATGAGGAAGCGGCTGGGCCGGCAGTGAGCAGCGCGGCCGCAGGCCCGCTGGGCGGAGGGCTGGGGAGAAGGCAGCTCTGCAGAGGGCGGGGGGGGGGCCGGGGCGCTGTCTACCTGTTCTGTTACTTTGGTCCGTGACGAAGAGTTTCACAAAGTCCTCTCTGCGGCTGCTCATTCTTTGCCAGAACCGAAAAAATAAACATTCCCACTGCTTCTTCCTCATAAACACGCATGAAGCCACCACACTTTTACCCGCCACTGGGCAGGGACCAGGCTCAGCCCAGCCTTGGGAGTCGCCTTGTTCCTCAGCTCCCCCGGCTTCCAGGGCAAAACTGTGAAGGCGCTCAAGTAAATCTCCCGAAAGATCACATTTCTAGAAAAGCTTGAGACTTACAGGACCCTGCCCATCAACTAAATTTTTCTTTAAAGAAAAGCAGCCAATAAAACAGGCTGCCTTTTCAGTGGGGATGGGAAGAACAGGAAGAAGGTGGCGAAGGGGCGGGGGCGGGGTCAGAAGGCCCAGGCTCTGCGTGTCCCTGCCCTGAGGGTCAATGGGAAAACAACACACTGCTGAGGGGACAGAAATCAGTTGGGGGGGGGGGGCAGGGTTAGGATCATATGTGAAGGAATCAAGGGAAGGGTTTTTAAAAATTCAGAACCTCCCCACGGCCTTGCGCTGGCCCCCCACTTGCCGGGGGAACCCAGGAGTGGGCTGGATGTCCCCATGACCTCTCCTGACCCCGCAGGGCGGGGCTCGGGCGCCCACCAGCCGGCTGGGACGGGGACTAACCAGGCAGCGAGGAGCGCGGGGCCCAGCCCCAGGGGTCAGTGGCCACTGCTGTCTGTCCACGCAGGGCGGCCCCGCCTCCCTCAAAACCACTCGGCTCAGCGGAGTATATTCAACAGGGGACAGGCTTGAGTTTCTAAGGCGCTCATTTGTATAAATATAATATTTAAATTAGTTAACTTGTGACTGTAAAAGGTCATTGTAAAATTGATCTAGGTGGTAGGAGTCCACCTTCCAGATTTTTGATGCAACCTAAGGGTTAGAAGCTGAAAAGTACAGTAGATTTTTAAAACACTCCAGGAATCTTCTTTAAAGACATATATATTCAAACAGTGATATATGCAACACTTTTCTGTATAAACTTTTTGTTTGAAAGGCCTCGCGTGGCGAATGTGCGTCCCCCGGAGCAGGTAGTGAGGAGCCATGTTGCGGGGGGATGAAAAGGAAGCAGGCAGACAGCTGCAGGGACCAGGAGAGCGGCCGGGCAGCGGCCGGGGCAGCGGCTGCGGGGCTCGCCCTGGAGTGAGGCCGCCCGCCCTGCCCTCGGCGCCGACCGTCCGCAGCTTTGGCCTCGGGCACCGGGATTTACTTTCCGGAGTCAGACTGGGGAGAAAGTCCGCCAGTTACATGCGCTGCACTCAGGTCTGCCTGTCTCATCCTTTTATTTCCTGAGAGGCTTTCGGAACAAAATGTGATGCAAATACCTGCTAGAGAAAGCAGAGGCTGTGCAGGCAAAATGAGCCTTATTTTTACTGATCGGATTTACTCCTGGGCGGGCGCAGCCTGACTCGGAGGATCTGCCTGCAGCCACGCAGCCCTCCCGGCAGGCTGGCGCTCGCAGGGACGAAAATGCAAGTCCAGTCCCAAACCGGGGCCCGGTATCGGCTGCGCCGGGCTGTTCCGCACACCCACCGTTTTTTGGGTTCGCTCTTTTGGAAACAGGGTGATGGAGAGGTAACAACTGAGGTGACAGCAAAGAGTGTTAAGAGCTTTTTACGCGTTTACAGTCCTTGTGGCCACAGGTCGGGGGTACGGTGGCACCGCCTTGCCCAGGCACGCCCCTGTCCTCCCCAGGGGCGGGCACACCGGCCGCGCGGCCGCGGGCGCGACTGCCACACCGCCGCCTCCCCTCTCTCCTGAGTTCAACTTCAGCCTGTACCGCGTTTTGCAAAAAATTGTATTTTGCAAAAACTGCCCCCAAAGTTGTTTTTCCCCTTACCAAGGACATTATGCCACATTTACTCCACAAATACAGGTTTTATAACGTTTATACATGTGCATGAACCTTTCGGCCTCCAGTGCCTCCCTGCCTGCCGCTCTGTTTCCGCTCTTCTCGTAAGCGGGGGCAGCAGCAGAGGGGAGACGCCGGGCCCCCCTCCGGCCCCGTGGGGCGGGAGCTGCCGCGGCGTGGGCAGGCGGGGGCCGAGCAGAGGCGAGAGGGCCCCCGTGTCTGCTCTTGGCCTTGTGTTTAGATTTCCAGGGTTGTGCCATATCTATGTCTGTACTAATTTAATTACAATGCTCTAACTGAATAAAATGTCTCTCTTGTACACGTACAATAACATCATGGTCGATTTGGGACCACAAGCAAGACTATAATTCACGGAGAAATGGGCTCAGGGTGAAAATGGAATAAGTGATTTCAAAACAAGACAGAACAGAACGCTTTTGGCTATTTTTCCATGTGAAGAAGACAAGATGGGTCAGTCAGTAACTCCTGGGACCCCTAGGGCGGCGTCTAAGGTTTCCTCCTGTTCCTGTGTCACCGGTTGTCCTGGTCCTCCTGCGGCTCTCCCTGGCAACCTCACGTCTGTGCGGTCAGTCCGAGGCCCGCTGTCCGGGGACGGGGAACGAGCCCGCAGACAAAGATGCAATTAGGGCCTCCCAGCAGGAGCGCAGAAGACCCAGGGCAACGGCAGCAAAACTATTCTCTTTAGCTTGGAAGGCAACGCGAAACCGGCACAGGCGGGACTTCCAGAGCAAAGTGACGCTCAGCGCCCCCGAGCACTGCCTACAGGGACCCGGCACGGAGGCTCGTTACCGAGCGTGTGGTCCAACGCACAGGTCTCGCCACAGAGTCTGTGTTTTAGAGAAGCGATGAGTAACAAAGGCAGCAGACGATGGAGATCTGGACAGCGGACAGACATTTCACCACACGCCCACGAGGTGGCGCCGTGCAACTAAAAATTAAAAGTGCTGGAAGCCCCCAGGGATAAGACTCAGGCTAATCTCTACATTCATTCAGTGCAACTCCAATAGCATTTAACAGAACTTGTGCCCCCGATTACCATCACAAAATTCTAAAATCTATGCTTTTCTTGAAAAATATCATGGTAAAAAATACCCTGGGTAAAACAAAATGAGATTAAACAACATGAAATACGGGCTATTTTAAAGATCAATTGTACAGAAATTACAGAATGTGGCAAATTTACTAAAGCTAATAGCCAAGAAAACTTACTTCGGAGTTTCTACCCTCCGCTCACTTTTCCTGCACTGTGTCGGGAGGCAGAGTCCTTGTCGGGAGGGGCAGCCCCGGGGCAGCAGGTGGCCCTGTGCGTCCTCATTTGCTGCCTTGGAAAAAAGGCCGACTTTGCCACAGGCAGTGCCTGCACGTGGGTCCCGGGAGCCAGCGACCTTCCTCCTCTCCAAACCTGCCACACCTGCACGCCTGCCGCCACCGCCACCGCCCTGAGTGGTGGGCGAAGGACACAGAGCGCTAAGCGGCAGGACTCTGCGCCTCGGATGCCTTAAACCGCAGTGTGAACGCAGCCAGGAGTTTAGCCGAGGAGGCCCAGGCACAGGCCAGGCCCGCGGGGCCGGGCGGGGTCTAACCACCAACACCTCGCCTTTTGGGCTCGCCCCGCCGGCCAGTCCTCTGACATCCCTTCCCCGTTCTTTCTGACAGAATCGACCTCACAGCCACTGAATCTATCAGAGTAAGTGCCCTCACTAAGGAAAAAGAACGTAAATAGTATTGAACAGTGGGGAAAGGGTCTGTGCTCCTTAAGCCTTAATGAAGGAAATAAACCTGAACTCCACAGACAGGCCATCCTCACCGTACAAAAACCAACCACGTACTCGCGAATCTTCTGCAGCCCCAGACAACGCGGGCTGCCTCGTCTCCCCACACCCCAAGTCCAGCAGGGCTCCGAGCAGAGAGCGCAGTGCGTAAGGGATTGTACACCAAGTGAAATGGGAAGTCTTGGATGAAAGTTTATCTGCACAAAACCAATTCAGTACGAAAGGAAATTACTTTGGCTGTGAGGTCCCTTTGTCATCTAAAAAGATACTCACAGATCTTCCTAAATCTAGTCACAGATGGAGTTAAAGCTTCTGCCATCTGGTTTATAGGTGATATCACTCAATTTCATGCATAATTAGATGTATGCAATTGTCCAAAATGTAAAGATTTCCTGTTTTAAAGAAAATGCAAAGTTAAATAAAGTATAATTTTCAATCCTCTGCACCGGAAATCTAGACCATTTCTACCTCAGATCTTAAAATACAGCATCAGAAATAAAACTGCGGTTACGAAACACAGGAGCTCACCAACTAGCTGATTACTTTTGCTGAAGAAGTATTTCATGGTAAACTATATTGCATGTGGCAATGGGCTTCATGTAAAACACACACAAAAAGTTAAAATTTGAGGTCAGGAACATGAAATTCTAAACCATGAAGACACAGATAGATGCTTAAGAATTGCATGCATCTCCAAAGCAAAGCTCTGGGGAATGTTCTCGGATCCCAGCGGCTGGGCTGAGGTTTATTTTTGTAGGCCGTTGCTAACACAATGACATGCTGTAACTGTTAAACAAGAGAACAAACTTTAAAAAAGAAATCAGAACGTACTAAATACATCTTTCTGATACATGCCAAATGAGGAAATCTTTAAGGGCGTCTTTTTCTAAATAGCAGTAAATGATGGCAATGTTAGTGAGATAAGAAATAAAATCCTACAATTGTACTATACATAAAAGGAAGCAAGTCATTCATGGTAGAGGAAAATACATTAAAATGCTACTCAGACTGTAAATGGTGCGGCCACTTTGGAAACAGATAGATCTGAAAAGACAGGTGCCCACAAGCTGCTCAGTGCACGGCTCCGGCACCTCGAGAGCAGCCCCGCCCACCCTCCCGGGCACACAGGGCGCCAGACACACAGCTTGTCAGGGCCTTGGTTTCCTAACAGACCAAATGACCCCACGTTTTGCAGTATATGTAATCCAGTTTCTGTTTACAATACAAAATAATGTATCAGAAAATAATGCCGCAGGTAGAGTTTCAGAACTGGCACGTACGGGACTGCTCTCTTTAGGCTTCTTACCTCGTTGGGAGGAACTGTGGCGAAGGGCGTGATGACCGCGGCCAAGGGCACCTGGGCTTGCTTGGCCATGTCCGACGTGCAGGGGAAGCAGTACGCCGTGCAGCGGATGTACCGCGGGCTCGCGTTGCCTGAAATGTTCAGAGACATGCTGAAAGTCGCGCTCAGGAGTCGGCCCGGCGACATTTAAACGTGTGTGGGGATGCTTCTGGGTAATGCACTGCCTTATTGGTAAAACTTCCTTCGTGACTTCTAAAAACAAATAGTATTGTGCGATTCTCCCCTCTATAATCTAGGCACACGGTAGCTCCTCCTACAATACGACACTGAATTCTACCGCAAACATAGGGAGAGATGTGTTGTTATTATTTCCCACACACAGGTGATGAATAAACTTGCAGACGTGAGAGAGAGGTGTTCCGAGTCCACAGGAGAAACACAGCAAAGGCACAGAAGCGGGAGAGCGCGACACTCCCGCCTCGCCCGCTGTCAGTGCCTCTGCCGGGGGGCAGCGCAGCGCTCGCGCCGCGACGTTTCAGCCGGGGACGCTCCGCCGGCTGCAGCTCCACGTGACGGTGTTTCCTTAAACTTGAAAGTTAAATTTAGAAGGGAAAATTCTACTTGTAATAATATTTTTTTTAAATACTCTAATCTATTTTTAATATACGTTAGGTTTCCTCACTAAGTGCCTTTACATGGCATGGCATACAGGAGCATTACAATACTGCCCATGGCATCAAAGGTGCGTTGGGTCACTAGCATAATTTGCCGAAAATAAATTTTGAAATTAAATTATTAAAAACTATAAGACAGCGACAGGGGAAACTTGGGACAACTGTAATAGAACAATAAAAAATTAAAATTAAAATAAGAACTATAATATATTATGATCAAAAGAACATAGTCCTAAAACAAATATTTAATGAGCATCTATGAAGCTTGGACACCGTGTCTGCAGAGGACGGACAATACGTATTAACCCTAATAAAGGAGTAAAGCACGTGCCCTCGCAGGGGGACAGGTGCTGGGGAAAAGTGCACGTGGGTGAGGAGGAAGTTTCAAAGTGTCACCGAGGAGGCCTTATTGGAAGGCAGCACTGAGCAAAGGCTCCAGGGGCGTGGGCTTTCCCAGGCAGACACCTGGGCAGGTATCAGTCCTCACATGTTACTAAGGGCGGGCGGTGCTGAGCTGCAGAGAGGAAAGAGGAGCCAGGCTCTCAGCTGGTGGTAGGAGGGAGCCTGGAGTCATGTGCAGGTGTCCAGGATGTGCAGATAAACAAGGCATGTGGGTGTGCGGGGCGTGCGGGTATGCAAGGCATGCAGGTGTGCAGGCTGTGCAGGTGTGCGGGGCGTGCAGGTGTGTGGGCTGTGCAGGTGTGCAGGGCACGCAGGTGCGTGGGCTGTGCAGGTGTGCAGGGCGTGCAGGTGTGCGGGGCGTGCAGGTGTGCGGGCTGTGCAGGTGTGTGGGCCGTGCAGGAGTGCAAGGCATGCAGGTGTGTGTGGTATGCAGGTGTGCGAGGCTCCCCAGGAAGCCCCCTGCCCTGCCTGCTGCCTGTTCTGTAAGGACAGGGCATAGGAGGGATCTGGGGTGGGCGAACCCCCGACTAGAACCTGGCTGGCTCCACAACTCAGAGATGACACAAAATGCTTGTTTAGACACGGATGGCACAGTTGTAGGGCCGGTACATGACCATACAAACAGTGTGTTCAGAATGCGAATGCCCAGTCTTACCAGGATGCACTTTAACTCGCCTCTAACAGGAGGACACCACCCCCCGGGAAGGTGACCCCGCACGAGGCCCCACAGGCGTGTGCGTGAAGCGGACCCGGGTGGAGTCAGCAACGGGCTCAGCCAGTCCTCGCCCTCGTCGGAAAGACGAACAGCCCAGGACGTTACAGGGCCTGCTGAAAAGACGCCGCGAGGGCAGGAATGCGCCCCGCCGCTGTCCCCAGCATCCCAGCCCCCACCGCTCTGTCGGTGCCGCCCTGCCAGGTCCCGGGGCGGTCGGTAAGGCAAGGACGGGGCACGTCCATCCGGGAGACCACGGGGCCTCCTGAGACGCACACGCGTCGTGCTGCGCCAGAAGCTCTAGGCTTCGCTGACACGTCCTTCTGTACGTGAGTGACTGGTGGCAAACTCGCTGCGCGTGGTGCTCGGGGCTGACGCTTCCTGTGCGTCGCGTGACCCCACTGTCTCTGCACCCTGGGGCTGAGTGCCAGCGCCGTGCGGGGGGCCGAGGCCTGCGGAGCACCAGCCCGGGCTGTATGCACAGAGGGCGACGTGGCCAGACCCCAGGAGCCCCGTTCCCCACTGGGGCTCTGGGCAGAGCTGGACGCAGAGTCACAGGATCAGCCGCAGAGAGGCTCCGTCAGCGAAGCCACGGTGGAAGGGCACGGTGGGCAAGCTTAACCACAGCGGAGCGAAACCGTCACACCTCGCTCAGCGCCGCCATTGCGAGTGCGTACCTTGGTCTTGCACCATGAAGTCTGTGGTGACGAGCGGCGGGACCTGGCCTCTGGTGCTGGTGACGTACACTTGTCCCCCTCGGGTGGCGCGGTCATTCTCGATCACCTGGATCTGATCCGGAAGACACCAAGAGCAGCTCCCGTCAGGGGCCTTCCCAACACCCCCGCCCCTCATCGCCCACACACACAGACAGGCGTTTTGTGACGCTTCGGCGCATTTCAGGGCACATGTGCGTGGAAACGCGGTCCCGCCCCCGTTTTCTGTCCCAGCCTCAGGCCAGTCGCTTCCGAATTCTGTTCTTAACATTCTGAGCTCCGACCCAGCCCCTCAGGGAACTTCATCTTAGTCAGTTTGTTTATTGGGACCATAGATAAGTATTTTTAAAAGTCGGGTAGGAAAAATAAATTGAAAATAATGTTTTAAAAGAAAATGCTTTCTGCAGGTAAAAAAAAAAAAAACTCTGAAAGGGTAAAACTGATGGAACTTGGGGGAAATGATTTACAACGTACAATCTAACCAGCCCTAACTTCCTCCTCACACCCTGCTCGACCCTCAGGGCCCCTTGGCCCTGCCCCCCACGCACCCCTGCTCCCTGAGACATGGCAGGAACAGCGGGGTCCCCGGCAGGTCCCCATGGCTCGGGAGTCAGAGAGAACGCGGGCCCCTGAGATGTGCCGTTGCCTCGGCAAACGCCTGCTATTTCTCTAAGAAAACATTTACTGATGGAAAATTGAAGACAGAAAGCCTGTCTTAGTGTTGCACTTGCTTCGGGAGGAAAGTAATGAGCAAGGTGTTGCGGTGTGAGCCAGAAGGGACGAGCGGACCCTGAGAGCTCTCTCCCTCTGCCTTCCCCAGCCCGCCTTCTCCCCAGGGGGCAAGGGGACGGGCAAGACAGGGAAGCAGAGAGGGTGGGGAGGGCCCCGCGGGACATGGGGCAGGCGTCCAACTGCAGAAGGGAGCAGCGGAAGATCCCTAGTCCTTTATGCTCCTCGAGACTATTTGCAGTGACGAGGGCCCTTCCTCACGCTTGGCAGGGCCGCTCGGCCCGCACCCCTGGCCCACCCCGCGGCCCACCCCCCGGCCACGCCGGCACCGACTTGGGCGGCTGCCCGGCATATCAGACACTGGTCTCGCCTGCCTTTGAACCTACACAGCCTGCCTCTCTGCATCACACCATAGGGCCTGGATTCTCATTAAATTAAAGATACAGAGTGTGCTCCACACGCAGCTACTGCAAAACAGACATGAGAATGAAGCTACATCGGCAGAGACGAGAAGCAAACAGAACGATCAAAGCCCTGTAATTATATTCTATTTTCCAACCACGACTTCTGTATTTCAACAGTAATCCGGTTCACTCAACACTGGAATAGATTTTATACTATCGACATTTATTGTCATCATTTCAACCAAGGAAGTGTCAAATATGACAGTGAAATAATCATGATAATCTATATATTGAATGTAGACAGTTCTTAGTCTTCAAATAGATCATTCCAAAAAGTTTATCTTTAAATTAACCATTTGCAATTCACAAAGCACTGGCTCCAAAGAAACACCATCTGCGGTCATTACGTTTCTAAATTAACCTATATATTGGCCGTAACACTGCAAAGAGAGAGGAAGTGTAGCAGTTTTAATAATTTTTAAAAATGTATTATAGGTTTTAAAATTTACCTCAAATGTATGTTTTCAAAAAACAGTCTTAGAGATCAGAGTGCCTAACAGAAACGTCAGCAGAGACGCTGCGTGTGACTCGGCCCTGCACAGCTTTCAATCCGGCCACAGAGCCTCCTGCTAACGCCGGAGCGACCCGGCCCGGGCTCCGCCTCCCTGCAGACACGGGCCGGCGAAGGGCTCTCTCGCTCATCTGCTGTGAACAGCCTGCCAGGTCCACACAACAGGGCCGGGGAAGAGGAGAGAGGGAGTCTCCGCAGGGAGGAGGCATGTGTGCGGGGCCAGGCGGCGGCCGGGCCGCGGAGGCCTGGGCTGGGGGAGGGGACAGAGAAGCTCGGGCCAGACCACCCCCCGCCCCCTGCAGGTGTGGAGGGGGAGAGAGGGAGGGTTCTGAGCGTGAGGCGGTTTCCCCACTTTCCAAAGCAGGTCACACACGTGTCCAAAGGGTCGTGGGGGGTGACCCCCAGGTCAGACGGGCTGGTGTGTCACCAGGGTTCCGTGAACACGACGTTACAGCTTTCTTTCCACAAGGGAGAATCTATTTCGCTAGCGAGAACTGCCTACTTTGGTGATAGGGCCCTAAACAGGTTCCATCTGGTGTTGTTATTTTATTACCTTTAAGATACAACCACCCTGGACTGGTTTTTATGTGTCTATTTTAATGTCTAGGATGCACCACACACAGCACATACTGCTCTTGCTTTTGTTGTTAACAGTCACTCATTCACTTGAAAGCATGCAAATGCCTCCAACCACCATGCCCTGGTCCACAGGAGGCTCTGCCAGCAACCCAGGCGGAGGAGGGGTGGGCCGGGCCACCAGGGGCACCGGGACAGGGCCAGGGCCGAGAGCGTCGGCCAAGGAACTAAACGCGAGGTGCGAGAGAAGAGAGTTGAGTGTTTTGGCCAAGAGACTGGGAGAACGGGGTGGAGATCTGGGCCCTGGGGGACGGTCTTGACGAGGCACAGCCTCATCCTTGCTTAAAGCCATGAGGCCGGCACCGCCGAGGGAGCACTCCCGAGCCGCCGGCCTGCGCGTCAGCGGAGCCGGCGAACACCCCGACTCCAGCCCCCGGGGATCTGGGTGGCGGGTCCGGAGGCCAACTGAGAACACAGAGCTCTAAGAGCTCCCAGCTGATGCTGAGGTCCTGTCCTTGGGGCACACGTCAGAGGGGAGCACTTGTACCTCTTCTTTCTTTGTCGTAAAAATGGCATGCCCCCGGGGGCTTCCCTTCACCCTGGATTCTAGAACAAGGGCAGCCCGCAGGGAATTCAGGTGGCATCACATCCCTGCAGCGCAGCTGTAAGCAGAGCTGGGGATTGCTTGTTATGCAGAATAACCTAATGAAAGCGGACCGATACAGGTCCTAGACTACGCCTCCACTTGGGTGCAGAAGAATTAAGTTATAGCTCTCATTCTGTATTAAACAATTTTGTTTTTTTAATGTGCAAAATACAATCGACTTTGTACTTTCACTCTCCGGGGATCTTACTCTTATTGAAAAGGGCCCTTTAATGATTTAAAATAGCATGTTTATCCAGGATATATCTTACTACTGATGATTCACTGAATATCAACGAATACTGCCAATACGTGCCAATATCAGCAGACACTGCCAAGTTCACAGAATATCAAAGAAAAATCTGCCTGGAGACCCTAGTGGGCCATAAGCCCCGCCCACGCCCACCCCCCACACCCCGGGGGGGCGTCTTCTCTGTGAGACGGGCGCTGTGCCCCAGCCACGAGGGGCCGAGACGTCAGCACACTGCAGATGCCTGAGACAGGGCCCCGGCTCGGAAGAGTCCCCGGGGAGGGGGGAGGGGAGGAGTGTGGGCAGGCACTTACCGGGCTGGGCACAGCGTCGGGATCCAGCTTCCTCTGGGGCGCGGGCGGCCCGGCCATCTGCGCGGGCCCTGCGGGGAAGCCTCCCCCGTAGGCGAGCTGCGGCCCTGCCAGCTGGGGCCCATAGTTGGCTGTTTGGGAAAAGTTTTACGAACGATGACCACGACCCAAATCCCAACGGGGGACTCACGGGCAGCGCCGTGCTGACCGGTCAAGCACGCTGCTTTCCATCCCTTCACGAAGGCAGGGAGTTGCGTGGGACCACCCCCAGCCCCCTTCCTTTGCAGCTGCCTCACTGTTCACAGAGTTCCTGTCCTTATGAGTGAGTGGCAGCGCCCAGTAACAGGAGCCAAGTGGGTCTGCATAGGGGCCGCCCCGGCCGCGCTCAGAGCCCCGCCCGCCTTACCTTGCTGGGGGGCGTATCCGGGGCTGGGGGCCTGTCCCGGCAGAGGTGGGGGCGGGAGCTGCGCGCTGGGAGGGGCGGGCCCGGGGAGCCCGTCCTGCCGGTGCGAGGGTGGCGCACCAGGGCCGTTCAGAGCAGTGGGCGGCGGTGGGAGGACCTGAGCCCCGGGCTGCAGGATGGACGGCTGCGGAGGTCGTGGCGGGCCGTGGCTCAAGGGCGCGGGCAGCGGGCCCGGGGGCCCCTGGCTGGGGGGTGCCACGCCGGAACCTGTGCGAGAAGGAAGAGCGGTCACCCACCCCGCACCCCCGCTCTCGGGCTCCTGCCCAGCACACGGCCGGGACACGGTCCTGACCCACGGCAGGGAGCACCCGTCCAAACCGAAGGGTTTCCTTCTGTGCCCCAGGGTGAGACCTCCACTGAGAAAGCCATACGAGTGCTGCTCTTGGGGGCGTTTTATACTGGGAAGTTCTTAAAGGGTAAAAACGTTGATAATTTTAGTGCGGCACTGAGCAGGGTAAATTGTAACTCAAGGGCATGACCTTTACGTGACACGTGCCATTAGCTCAGAAATTGTATCTGTTCACGGTCTAAGTCACACGGAATAACATGTCCCACGCAGCGGGCATCAGCAAGGTAACGCACGGTCAGCAAGTCATCTGCGTCCTGTGCTTGCCTTGCTCGAGAGGGTTCCAGAGCCAGGGGAGGGGACCAGGGAGCGGGGACGGGCCGCCAGCGGGCTCTCCGACCGTTCTGGGCGCAGCTGTGAGGCCCGGTTGTTTTCCTTGATCTGATAACGCGAAATCGAGTTGCTTCGCTGGAGACTTATCCGTTTTGGAATCAGTAAGAGGAAATGTGCCGAGGGCTGTATCCTGACAATTCTAACCCGCGCTCAGTGATGGACACGTTCTTCATGAAGATAACGGGCTGCCCGTGGGATTGCAGGGACCCCCGGCGCCCCGGCTCTTCCCCTGGCGCCGGTCGCGGCCCGGGCCCCGTTCCCCTCCCTGGCTGTCCCGCGTCCCCCGGGCCCCCGTTCCTGACGTGGCGCCAGTCCGCGCTGTGCAACAGCGAGCTTCTACCCCTGACTGAGGGCCCCAGTGAGCTCAAAGGGCCCTTGTGTCTCCTCAGGCGATGTCGCTGTCCCACTGTGTATTTGGGACATCAGCATGGTTTGCTCTGTATTGTTCTCATATTGAACGTAAAGTATTCTGACGGCCCTTCATTTACCTTACAATAAATGACAGCACCATCTGGGAACAGGTTCATTATAGCCACACACAATACGGATGAACAATATATACAAATATCCCAAAACCGATTTCACTACGGTGTGCCCGCCCTGTGTCTCTTGGGAACAGAGGAGACCCTCCCTCGTTGGCGACGCTCAGGACACAGGCAGGCAGCAGGGGCGCAGAACGGAAGTTACCCCCAGGGCCGATGTGCATGGCGTGGAGCTGGCTGCCCAGCTGGGAGACGGGCGTGGCAGCCGCGGGGGCCGGGTGCGGCGGCTGGGCAGCAGGCGAGTATGGGGCGTAGGACGGCGCCGCGCCGTTGACAGGCGGAGGACCTGGAAACCTGAGAGAGGAGGAAGGACGCTCAGCAATGTCGCAGGTTCGCACACGAACGTCACACAACGAACGTCAGTGACCCGTAAGAGTCAACAGGCCATCTGGGGGCCCAGGCGCCGTGCTGAGTCTTCCGCACGCTCGGCGCGAGCTCCAAGTGCAGCGCGAGGCCGCATCCTGGCAACCACGGAGGCTCGGCCTGAACCCTAGGCTTTTGCCCAACTTCTCCACTTCCACCCCTTTTCCAGCCTTCCATTCACAGTCCGAGGGGAAGCAAGTCCACAGTGGGGGAGGGGTGGAGTCTGCAGGGCCGCGCGGGGAATGACAGGGACAGCGGCCCCCGGGGTGGCCTGGGCCCATGGAAACGGGGTACGGGGACACAGTGTCCATCCGTGGAGACGGCACTGGCAGCTGGTATGTGCAGGAGTCCTGCCCGGGGCAGGGCACTGGGCGGGGCTCTTCCCACGCACTCCGCCCCGCTCAGCCACGCTGCCCACAGTCACTGGGGCGAGGAGGAAACTGAGGCATGGAGGGAAAGCCCTGGCCCGGCCGCCACAGCCTGAGCCAAGAGCGGCAAGCGCGTCTTCACGGTGGGGCCCACGCCGCTGCCTGGGCCAGACACGGCGCTGAGCTCACAGCCCTGCGCCCACCTGCGCCCACCTGCGCCCACTAGGGGACCGCGCTCACCAGCGTCCCGGAACCTGGTGCCGGTGAACCAATGGACAGAACCGGAAGGGTCCGCCCTGCCCTGGCTAATACCAGTGACCCAAACCTTCTCTTCCCCTCAAAGCAACTGTTCGGGTTTTGCATTTCTCATCAAAAAAACACATGAGATGCATATGGCAGTTCACAACAGTGAACTTCTCCATATCCCCTCCCCTGTCCTCTGGGCTGAGAATTCTGTCTCCTCATGTGACAAGGCAAGAAACTGAGGCCTGGACACCCAGCCGTGCCACCGGCGTCACTCACGAGTTGATGGCTTCAACCGGGCGAGGCTTCCTGGGTCGCAGACTCTCCGCTGCCCCCGCAGGGCCCCCACCAGGGGCAGCGGGGCAAGTCCCAGGTCGGCATCTGCCCTCTGATCGCGCCTCAAACCGGGTCCCGTGGGAATTTCGCAGACCCACCCAGGGCCTGCGTGCGCCCTCCCCTGCCTCTTCGCTGGCCGAAGCATCAGACAAAGGCCAGAGAGCGGCGACCTCCGCAATGCCCCGGGCAGGGGGTCACCGGTGACCAGCAGGGACTGAGGGCTCCTTGGAAGGGTGACTAACGGGAGGCACCAGGGTCCAGATCGACCCCGGGGGCCGCCCTGCCCCTAACCATGCCGCTGAGCAGCCTGGGAAAGGGACCTCAGGAGCAGCAGCCTCCGCACAGTCCCTGGAAAGAGTCTCAACGGCAGCACCTCACAGGAGCAACAGCAGCGGGGCTTCCGGCAGGGACGGTGTGACGGGCCCCCTCGCCCGGGACCGTCCCATGAGGGCGGCGGGGCTGCGGGCGGCCGGCTGCCTCCCGCCGGGCTCCTCCGGGCCAGCCCCCCCCCCCGCCCCATCCTACTCCACGCAGGACGCAAACCCACGCTGTCCCGCCGGCGTTGCTTTCTCTGCCGCCCTGCCTCTCAAGAGTCCCTCCCTGGGCATCAAATCCACCCTTTCCCACGGGCCACAGTCTGATTACATTTTTAAAATATTTATCAAGCACCAGCTGGCCCTGGGCGCAGTTCCCCGAAGGGATCAAGAGACTAGGAGATTTCACATGGTACCGGGGACGCCGGCCACAGACCCCTGAGGGAGGAGAGCACGACGCGAAACCCTGAGGCGCGGTGGCTGTGACCCGGCAGTGACCCCTCTCGTGCTGGCAGAGTCCTGTTCACGGATTTTTGTAGGACTAGGACGGCCCCCTCCCCCCCACCTTTCCTAAGCGCCCTGCATCCTGGGGCAGCTTGGCGGCAGCTCCCTTCAAGGCTGTGGCCAGACCCCGAGGCCCACTTCCAACCAACAAGCACACAGGTGCAGACGGGACTTGAGAGACAGCGCAGCAGAAGGGACAGAAGAGGGTTGGCCGCTGCCTCACTCACCTTTGGGGCAGGTGGCCCTGGGCCGGAGCTCCGTTCTGGCCAAGCTGGGGGGGCCCAGGGGGCGGGGCGGGAGGCAGCACCATCCCGGGCGCAGCCCCCAAAGGCCCTGGTGGCTTCATCACACCTGCAAAGGAAGGGCATGCGTCAGAAGAGGGCAAAGGGTAAGGACCAGCAGGCAGCAGAGGGGAGTGGGGCAGGGCGGACCGGGGAAGGAACAGGTCAGGATGCGGGGGCCTGGGGCCTGGGGCCAGCACGGCCGTGGGCCGTGGGCCGTGGGCCGTGGGCGGCCGCCGTCCTGACAGAGCAGGAGAGAAAGGAACCGTGTCCACACTGAACTGAACGGGAGCTGCAGCAGAAGCAGCAGCCTCTGCAGCTGGCGCAGGCAGCTTCACAGAACACACGTTCACACAAAGATCTAGAACGCCCACGGAAGACGCCATCTGGAGAGCAGGAAATCGGCCTGGGGCACCGGCGTAAGACACAGGCCCCGAGCTCCCGACGGAAGCGAGCCCTCGGAAATGCCGGGGCGCGAGCCACACGTGAGAAAGGTAGCGGGAGGGGCAGGCGCCCGCATTTCCCCAACAGGCCGGAGCCCAGCCTTCGGGCTGAGCATCGTTCCAGGGCCCGAACCCTGGCGACAAACATCGAGAGGTGGCCACGGCTCAGGTCCACAGTCCTCACAAGCAACGCTCGGTGTGTTCAGGGCCGCGGCTGCGGTTTCACTGGCAAGCAGCCCTTCTACCATAGAGAACGCTGAAGGCTTCTCTGCAGACCTGCTCTCAGACATTCTTCTCTTTTCGAGAGAAACTGCGGTCTGGGCAAGGAGTCGACCTTGGAGGGCCTCCTTCGCCCTCGGACACGCGCGCGCCCGCACACCCTGCCAGCCTCTGCCACGGAGAGGAAGGGCAAGCGCCCCATTCGAGTGTGCGCCACCCGCCACGGTCCACACCGGGCCTCAGGGCGGCGTTTCACGCTCCGCCCCCGCCCGCCCCCCTCCCCCGCCCCGCCCTGCCCCTACCCCCTCGGGGGCGTGGGCTCTCCCGCCCCGCAGCCGCCCAGGCAGGGCCTCGGCCGGCGCCCTCACAGGACTCTCCAGCGCGCGCTTTCGGGAGCTTGGGTCACCCAGGCTGCACTCGCCAGCGAAGGGGCGGGACTCCCGCACGGCCCCCAGACCGTCACACAAGCGTCGTCTCTTAAAACGGGACCCCTCAAAGTTATGAAAATTTTATAGTACCTTTACAGGCACAGTCTTATGTAGCAATTTATCACATACCTAGGACAAAACTGGACATATGATTCTTATAACAGCATGTTTTTATATAAAGTTCTAAACGCCAAACCCAGCTAATGAGAAAGCATGAGGCTTGCAGCCCCAGACGGGTGGGAGCAGCCCCCCGACCACTTAACAGCTGTGACCCCGATGAGACACCCGGACCCTTCAGACCTGGGCTTGGCCACCACCCCGCCTCCAAGGGCTGTCCTGAGAACTCAGGGGGGCGGAGGGCCCAGGGCGTCCACACAGGGCCTGGCACCGCGAGGCGACCGCTCAGCAAGCCCCCTGCTCCCTCCCGGCCCCGCCCCCACCCTCCTCTTTCCGGGGGTTTATATTCTAACAAGACGTGTACACCGTAATTATACGCACACTTCTATTTTCATTTTTAAAGCGTGATTTTGAACAAAAGTAGAAAATGCAGGACACTAAAATAGTAACTAATTAGATGCACTACAAGAAACCAAAGATATTCTCATGTCTTAAATAAGGAAGGAAGTGAACAGAAGTTCATCAACACCCCTCAGACGTGTGTCTGGGGAACCCAGCACCAGGCTTCAGAGTTACTCATGTCTGGGTGTTGCTGTGGGTGGGTGCCATGCACGTTAATAAACTTCTGTTTCTAAAGACAAACAAAACACCAGTTCTCGGACGCTTAAGCAGAACTGTATTATACACCAATGGCACTGAACCGTTCTTTGCCATTTACTTCTGGAAACCAACTCGACAGCGATGGTTCGAACTCGTTCTTGTTTGACGTGCACGCCCCGTGCCCTCGAGGCCAAGCTCCCAAGAGAGAGAAGGCGCACAAACGGCCGGCGTGCGTGCAGCACGTTCTCAGGGCAGAGGGACCCCCGGCTCCCCCAGGGCCCGGCGGAGGCGCAGAGGAGGGACGGTGAAGCGTGAGGGCCCAGCAGGGGTTTCCTCAGTGTAGAGCCAGGGCAGGGGATGGGGGTGGGGAGAGCAGGGCGTGGTGGGGCCCAGGGAGGGGAAGACCGGGAGCAAGGGTTGTCCAGGTTGGCGGGGGTCAGGCTGCAAAGTCCTGGAAGCCAGGTGGCCTTTGCCCTCAGGGCAAAGGGAGGCAGGTGTCAGTGTTCGCTGTACACACAGCCTGCCCCGGCCACGTTTCTAGCATTTGAAAGTGATCAGAGATAAAGAGAAATCGGGTCATTGCAGAACAGTAAGAGAGTTTTAACAGGAAAGGAACCAGACCATGAGAAAGAGCCAAAGGTGCTTATGCCAAAAGGAAACCTCACAGCCACGAGCCAGCCTTTCACGCGGTGCCAGGTGTCACAGGCGGGCTCACTCAGGACCAGCGCCAGTTCCTCCCTGCCGGCCTCTGCCAACGGTCCGGTCCCGGGCAGGATGGCCAGAATCTGCGTCCCCAGGCTGCCTGACAGACTGGGCTGTGGCAGGCGGGGGGCTGAGCCGAGCCCCCTGCTCGGGGGGAGGGGGCCCCCAGCCCCGCAGGGGCGCGGCTGGGGCAGACAGGCAGGGCTGCCCGCGGGCTCTCGGCTGGGGGCGCCACGCCCTCTCCGGGCTCCGTCTAGGCTGCCCTGGCGCCCTGCGGCCGGGGAGCAGGCCCCTTCGGGGAGAGTGGTCTCGGGCACCAGCGAAGACCACAGCAGAGCAGAGGTGGGACTGCGCCCCGCCTCTGGCACGCTCCTCCCACAACCGAAACCCACTCGCCAGAGACTGTCCATCGGGAATAAACAGAGACGAGCTGGCGAGGACCGCGGCGTCCCGGGGCGCTGTGCAGGGCGTACCTGCAGAGGCTCGCTCTGGATGAGGCTCACCCGCTGCCCCCCGCCCGCCGGGGCCGGGGCGCCGACGGCTCTCTTCTCTCAGCTTCCAGGCCCGCGGTCCTCGACCAGCGGCTTTGCCCCTGAAGGGACACCGGGCAATCTCTCGGGTTTTTGGTTGCCACAGCTGGGGGCTGAGCGCAGGGCAAGCCCTGGGTAGACGCCAAGGGTGCGGCGAAACTTCTGCCCCGCACAGCGCGGCCCCACAGGTCGGAGGGCTGAGGCGGAGCCGCCCGCTCCCTCCCGAGAGCCGCGCCTGGCCTGGCCTCGCTGCTGCGCCGCACCCGCGCGTGTGGCGGGCGCCTCTTCCCAGCCAAAGCGCTCCCACGGCACCGCCGCCCCCACCGTGAACCCGGAACGGGGTCTTCAGTAGGCCCCACTCCCGCCGCAGGCGCCTCTCCTGGCGGCACCGGACCGCCCGCAGGTGGCCGGCAGTGCTCCCCCGCCCCCCGCCAGGCCAGCCCTCACTTTGGGTCACCCCTACGTCTGGCCCGGTGCCCCTGCCCTGGGCCGCCACCCCCACTGCCGCCAGGGCTCCCCCGCGCGGCCACTGTCCACCCACTCGACACACGCCCTGCCCCTCAGCGTAAGGATAGACGTGGGGCGACCTGTGGTCGCCGCTCCATCGCCCCACGCACGCTGCCCCTCGGTCTGCCTGTCCCACTCAGAAGCTCCGAGCGCCGCTGAACAGGAAGGCTCCGGCGGAGGTGCCCACGGGGGAGGCCACAGCAAGAGCCCTTCAGGGAACCACGCCAGGATGCCAGGCCTGTCACACAAGCCCCGACAAAGCAGCACCAAGGACCCGAAAAGAAGGCGCGCGATGCCTGAGGGTGAAGCAATGTGAGGCTACTGAGCACAAAGAAACAAAAGCTCGTTGACTTAGTGACGGCCCAGCTGACGGAAAGGTCTGCGCGGAGTCTGACTGGCGGTGTCCACCTGCGAATCGAAGGAGGAGGAAGCAGGAGGGATGCCATCCAACAGAGGCAGTTTCCCGACACCGATGAGCGCGGCAGCCCCCGCCACTCGTGCGCCGAGTCAGCCTTTCCGCGCGCTCTCTGCCCCGGGTGGCCCTCGCCACGCAGCGGGGTGGGTGCTGGACGGCCTCGGTGCGGGAGAACTCGGGCAGAGGACTCGCGACGAGCTCGAGGAAGGACCGCGGGCGGGTTCGCCGCCAGCACAGCACGGAGCTGCCGGACGGCGGGCACGGGGGCGGGCCCTGGGGGGACGGGGCGGCGGCCCGGGCGGGCTGGCTGATGGAGCGGAAGGCCGGCCAGGGCACAGGTGCAATGCGGCCTCCCCGGGGACGAACAGCTCAGCCTCACGGCGGTGACAGGCGAGGGGCTGGGGCAGGTGAGCAGAGGCGAGGAAGTGGCCTGGGGAGTCCCCCGGAGCAGGGGCAGCAGGAAGCCATGGAAGGTCTGCAGCCAGAGGAAGTCGGGATCGGACCGGGCGGCCGGGGAGGGGATAGCTTGGCAGGAAGGCGGGGCTGGAGGGAAGGGTGCGGGTGAAGAGGCCCTTCAGGTGACCCAGGCGAGAGACGGGTGGTGGGACACAGGAGTGACAGGGGGAGAAAGAGGAGGACGCAGGCGGGAAAGCTGCGGACAATTGTCCAGAGGACCTTGGGTCGGAGAAGGTAAAGGGGAGAGGTTTTCTTTAAATGGCTCAACTGTCTAATTTGGATGAGGGAGAGTCACTGCCAACGAGTGAGGTATAAGATGCCGGGAACAACGGCTCTGTGGTTTCCAATCGTGCATTGTCTAGGGCGTGACGAGTGTGACGTGCCTGCGCCGACAGGGGGGCCACCGAGGTCAGGGCGCGGGGCGCAGGGGAGCCCTGTGGGCTGAGGCAGCCCTTCCCGCGGAGCGACCCGGTTTCGGGGAACACCCCAGAGCAAGGGCACGGGGGTGAAGGCAGAACAAAGAGGAAACAGCAACACTTAACGGTCACATAGAAGGAGGGGCTCCTAGAAAGACATGTCAGAAAGCCACCAAGAAAAGCCACAAAGGAGCATGTCACTGAAACCACAAGGGAAGAGGGTTCTGAACAAACGAAAGCAATAAACAGTGTCGGACTCCAGAGTGGACAGGACAGTGAGGACTGCGTTCCGCAATCGATGGCCCGGCGGGAGAAGGGGACCGTGGGCGGCGCCCCAGCTGTGCAGTGCAGGTGGCCCTGAGCCACGTTCGGGGTGGGGGGACAGCCAGGCCAGGGCGCGGAGGCCCGGGGCAGCGCGGCACTCATTTAAGGCAGCGGCTGCGGAGAGAGGGCAGGAGGGCGGGCAGTGCTGAGCGTCCCCTGGGGGGCGCAGTGGCGTCTCCTGCTGCGCCCTGGAGCGCCCTGGGTGCGAACTCTGGCCGCGCCACCCGCTCTGTGACCTCGGACAAGTCACAGCGTGCCAGACGCTCAGTTTCCTTAGCTGCGAACTAGGGCTGAACATCGACTGCCTAGCATTGTATGAACACTAAAGGAGAGGAAGTACCTAAAGTTTTTAGGACCACTTTTTGAGGCATGGTAAACACTCGAAAAAGAGTAATTTATGTAATTATCATTATGCATAAGCCCGAGGGGTAATGAGCCACCAGACAGAGAGAAACGAGAGCGAGATGGGTTAACGGTCCCTAAGGGACCCAGAGAGACACAGCCGTCAGTGTTACGGGAAGCAGTGCTGCTGGGTCGGAGGCGAGTGCCTCGTCGGAGGCTTTTAACGAAGACAGGAGGGACAGTCACCGCCGAGGGGGCTTCCCCGCGGGGGTCACAGCCTCCTGCACCTTCCGCAGCGCACTGTGCGCGGCCGCCCCGCGGGCTGCGGGCTCCCGGCTCCGCGCCGCACACCCGCGTCGCACCCGCTCCGCCCGGGCCCTGCGTCTCTGAGTCGGGCCTCGGGCACCAAGGGGCGCTCTCGGCTGCCTACGCTGCGCACTCCCACCAAGGGCCCGGCTGACTCCTGCGCGCGCTCCCAGAAGCCCCAGCAGCGCAAATATTGTCCAGGAACTTGGGACCCTCCGACCTGAAGCAAGCCGTTCTTAGCCTCGCTCCCGGCTCTGACACCTGGTCCCTCGGAGCAACCCCTTGATAAAGGGAGGTGGCTTCGTGGTGAGACTGTCCCCAGAGCAATAGCGGGTCCCCCTCCGTCACTGCCCTTTTCTCCCCACTTCTGCCCTTCAAGCCAAGATTCCCTGCTGGGCAGCACATTTCAAAGCAACCAGTATTGCTCAGTAATGATTTCAAGGAAGGGCCATGTGTATCACGTTATCATTGAGTAACCTTTAGTGTGCAAATCTAACGACATTTTTCCAATATCAAAATCGATGTGATAACAGTATTGCCAAAACCTCTTTAGCACATGTACGAAGTTTGTTTTTTACGGAGTGCTTACGATGAGAGCACACCACTGATAAAAGCAAGAGCTGGTCTAAAAACACTCAGGAAGCCTCTTTGTTTAAATCTACATTTAAAAACCAAACTCACTCTGCCTCATGCAATAACCAAACTGCCGATGCAGGCTTCTTCCCCGAGAGCCTTTTCCAAGGGATCCAGTCACCGCAAGCCATTGCCTCCTACCACGGCAATTCCAGGCTCCCAACGCCTCTCTTGGGACACCGCATGGCTGAGCCGGAGACCAACGACCGCACACGAGCCAGAACAACGTGCTTTACCTGGTGGAGCACCTGTGTGAGCTGGGTCCCCATAGTGGCCGTAATGCGGTGCAGAAAGGCCCATCCCAGACTGGGCCTGAGAATAGGGGGGTGTCGCCACGTAGCCTTGTTGACTCATGATGAAAATCTCATTCCAAGAGAAAGTTCTACAAAAGAACCCTGCAACAGAAGAGAGAATGCTGTTGGCAAGAGGAGCTGAGTCACGTTCTGCTATTAAAACCGTGGGCACTGTTATCTGCCTCTGCTGCTGAGAGGAAAGGTCCTGCCATACACTATGCCACAGCGTCCCCCCGCAAAGAGCTCCAGCCACGGCTGCGCAGAACTGGGGCACGCACGTCTCCAGTCGGGGCACGTTCTCAGGAATGAAATCCCAACACCTGCCCACCGCCTTGTCTGTGGAAGGCTCAGATGCCTCAGGGACAGGCTCTCAGAGGTGTGTGTGCTCTTTCTGTGCCTGTGGTCTCCGCGGCCCCATTTCGGCACAGACCACACTGCTGGTGACAATGGCGTGTCAGCCGACTGGCTGACCAGCACAGTGCCAGCCGTCTGCAGCCGGCTATTTCGTGACTTGTGTTTTTCTAGGGCTACCCTAATTAGTAATTTTCATCAGGCAGTTAGGACAGGGAGCAATCAATAGTCCAACGAACACAGCAATAGATAAAGAAGTTGATCGTGGACTTGTGAGTCATAAGTTGACTAAGCCAGGTGGCAGCCGACAACCATTTGAGAGTTGTCAGTGGTTTTCTCAGGCACAGATGAAAGACTTTCTTTCTGATTTAAATATCACATCTCTAAGAACATATGCGCACAGATTTCAGAAACAGAGTCAACTGCATACCCTTCGGCAGGCACGCACACACACAAATACAATAGATCCATCTTGATTCTACTCAGAAGCCAAACATCAATTTGTTAAAATTTGCCAGGTTCAGAAAATAAGAGGCATTTCATAGAACTGCTTACTCTCAAAATTTTTTACAAGACAGGAAAAGCTCTGAATGCTGGCAGGAGAAGTGGGTTTTCACTGCAAATCCGCCAACGCTTAGCTGCGGGCGGGGGAATACGCTGAAGACCCTCTCTGGGCCTCACTTCCCCTTTCTACCTACAAATCACTGATTCTGAAAAGTGTAGACTTTCTTTCCAGTTTCTTCACCCACTACAGGAATAGTCTTCCTTTTTGTTATTTTATGATGACACCTTTTAAAGAAAAAGATGGGCGATGACCTACTAAGACTTGAACTAGAGCTATACTCAGGAAACGGCTTGCTTCATTTGGTTTCGTTTTCCCATTGAACAACAAGTCTCCAAAATTAAAGCAGCCAAGTAAAAATATCGCAAAATCACGTCCTTCTCCGTGGAGGGGAGGGGCGGAGAGGCGAGGACGCAGAGGCCGCCGGCGCGCGGGTCGCCGGCAGCCGCCGCCCGCGCAGAGGGCGACGTGGCAGCCTGAGCGCCGTCCCGCTCCTCCAACCGCGCACTTCGGAGAAGTCGGCGGGGGCAGCGCCCGCAGCCGCCTGTTGCTGGGCGACGGCGAGGCCGGAGGGACAGGATGGCACCGCGCGCGCGCGCGCGCGCGCAGGAAGCAGTCGGTGCCTCGGCGCGGCTCCGGAGGAATCCGCTTCCTCACGCGGCCAGTTGCCACGTCGAACTTCCTCGCACGGCCGAGTTCCGAAGCCTGAGTCAGCCGCGGCGGCGACGTGGCGGGGCGCCACCTGGCCCGAGCAGGCCGAGCATCCAACGCGGCGCTGCGCTCCGGGACGCCCGGCCGCTCGGCCCAGGTGCAGCCCAGGTGCACGCCCCAGCCCGGACCGCGTCCCTCCCTGTCAGCAGGTCTCGAAGCTTGCAGGCGTCTGTACCGTGAAGGTTCCCAACACCCCTTCCTCCAAGAAGGTGGGTCGAGGGAGCCGGAGAGCAGAACCGCTGGCAGGGGCCCTGGGACCCCCCGCAACAGCTCGGCATCCCGGACTCGGAGCCGGGGCGGGAAACGCCCACGCCCCCCTCCAGCCCCAGCCTACCCTGCACGGCAGGCCCGGAGCAGAGCAGGGGGTCCCCGCGCGCCCGCCCTCCAGGCCGCCCCGCGCCCACTCCAGCTGTGCCCGCTCCAGCTGTGCAGGCGGCGTCCCGCCCGGACTTGCGTCACCCGCCGCTGCCCGGCTCTGCTCCCGGTGCCCGCTCCCGGCGCCCCGGCGCCCGCTGCTCACGCCGCACCTTCGGGGGCAGCTGTCCCCACAGGCTGGCGGCGCGCGGACTTCAGCCCGGCTGGCAACTGCCACGTCAAAACTCCCGGCCGCGCTCCCGGCGCCGGGCGGCCCCCAGGGCCGCGCTCCCGCCGGCGCACGCGCGAGGACGCCTACGGGGCGGGGCCGGGGGCGGGTAGGGGCGGGGCCTGGCGGGCGGGGCGGGGCCGGCCACCCAGCTGGGTGGCGCTCCGGCCGCCGGTCCTCCCTGAGTTTGCCTTCGTCTTTCCTGTCTGGTTTGTTTGTTTGTTTGTTTGTTTCCGCCCAACAGGTCACAGCTTTTTAGGGCTGTTGCTAAATGCGCTCAACAGGTCCACGGCGGAGCCCGCAGGGAGGGGCGTGCGTGCCGAGGGTCCGTTCGTGCTTGCCCTCGCAGGTGGCAGGTCCATCCGTTCACTCGTTACCGCCCCCGGAGTCGCTGTGACGGCGCAGGTGCTGCGCCGCCGGGGGCAGGAGGACCCACGACCCCGGACCTCCGAGGGTCCCCAGGTTCCGGCGGACCTGGCGTGTGTGCACAGGTGGAGGCCGCGGTCTGCGGGGCGTTGTGGAGGGGGCAGCCCGGCCGCGGGGAAACGGGGAGGAGAAGAGGCCCCGGCTCAAAAGCAGGGGCCACTGCCACCCCGAAGGCGGGACGACTAGGCTTCCCTGTGTTCCTTCAGCCGAGGTCCACACGCTCCCCTCCCCGCCTGTAGAGTGGGGTGGCCGATCCCAGCCCAAACAGGGCTCGCTACGTGCACCGCAACTAGCTCGGTGCGCCCCGAGGCAGCTGAGAAAGACAGGCTGCCCCTGTGAGGCCTGGGACTGACAACTCTCTCTCGCTTTTCAGGACCACCTGCCTGGCGTCTCTCTCTCTCTCTCTCTCAAGCGCGGGCACGACCCACTGCTAAGTAGAAAGGCCTTCAGCCCACCCTAGGTTTAGCTACCACTCAGATCAAACTTACTAAAGTAAAACCAGGCCAATGTTGTTTCCAAAATATACTTTCTTCTGGGCTGGAAGAAAATACAAGGAACTTGACACATCCCCTTGCTGATGGGAAACGCTGCGGTCAAAGGCTGCCTGCGCGCGAGGCCTCCGCGGAAGCGCTCCGCGGGGCGGCAGGGACTCACTGTCCCAGGGAGGGGTGAACCCACCGACCCGGCCCGCCCTCCTTTCGTTGGAGTCTAAGCCCTGAGGTCCTGCCTGCATCCAGCTCCAACCAGGTCAGGTGGGAAAACCCACCATGAAAACTCTGTTTTTAAGTTCTCAGTATGATGCAAACGGTCGGTGGTGTTCAGGAAGCTCTGGCCACTGTTGAAGCTCCACAAGCGCTTTTATTCCTAAGAGCAATAAAAAGAAGGTGCCACATCTCAGCTGTGTGACAATGCAGGAGGGTAGTCGCTTGGAAATATGAACCCCAGGTGATGACTGGTTGGCTTGTCCCTGTAAAACCTCTAAATTTGAAGTTGTAAATTCGTTTTCACCCCTTGCTTAGGGATACTGGGACAGCTTCTGGTTTCAGAGGGAAGTTTTGAGCACCTGCATGTTAAGCTGGAAGAGACTTCGGAAATATGAATATTCAATTCAACTTCCAGCGAGGACTGAGTTCCGCCCGGTCATTTTATAGGTTAACCCGCTGAGGTTCAGAAAATGAAAATGACGACTCTCAGCATCAGCTGGAGGGAACACCTTCTGATTCTAATTTCAAAGGTCTTTTCGCCTCGTACTTTTTTCCTCTCGATACTGCTCTGATCTGCTATTCTCTCTTAACCGTCTCTGCCTCTTTTTCTCCCACAACTGCCTTATCTTCAAGATTTCAAATAACTAAAATATTAATTGGTCACACCGTTCCCCCATGATTGGACCTACTAGTCACAGAACTCTTTTTCTTATGAAGTGGACTTCTGGTTCCAGTACTGCTTCCCCCTGGTGGCCCAGTGCCCAGCCCCTCAGTGACAGCTTTCTGACCTTACTCCTGTGGTCGGGTGGCTGGCCTTTGCCAGACGGGAGGGACGATGGGCCCCCCAGCCTTCCTTGGGCTGACCTGCCCTGCTGCCTCCTGCGGTCAGCCTCTGCCCTCTGGTGTCTAATGAACTCGGCCTCCCTGGTAACCAACCGCACCTTGATTGCCAGGTGAGGTCACAGAGAAAGCCGTGTTCTGGAGCTGTGTGTTCTGCAGGCTCTTTGTGTTCTAGCTCTACAAGGATCCAGAGCGTCGGCTCTGCAAAACGCCGTTGAGAAGGAGGAGGAGCACCCTGGTGGCACTCAGGGAGTGCCCTTCGGGATGCCAGGGCTGGGATCCTCCGTCGCTTCGGTAGTCGGAGGCTTCTGGCTCCAAAGCCACAGCAGTTTGAAGGAGCCTGGCCTGTAAAGAACCGCAGTAGCCAGGACTGGGCTACGCGGAGGACCGGGAAGCACAGTGACGAGGCCCCGTTGCAGGGCTGGGGGCCTGGAGGCGCCGGGCCTGTTGCGTGGCAGCCAGGAACGGGACGGCAGCGCTTAAGCCCCTTGTTCGTCGGGCCCCAACAACAAGCTGTTGCTGGAATTACCTTTTTTTTTTTCATTTTTTAAATAGCAGCTTTAGGGAAATAGAGTGAACAGTTCATCCATTTAAAATGCACCCCTGAAGGTTTTTGTATGTTCACAGTTACACAGCCATCGTCACACTTTTAGAACATTTCTCATCACCCTGAGGAAAAGAGAAGTCGTTTCAGGTTTTGAACCGCGGAGTAGTGCACCCCCCCACCCCCTCACCCCCTACCACCCACCGCCGCCCCCACTCCCGCCCCCCCTCCCGCAGCCCTAGCAGCCACCGATCTGCTTCTGCCTGTGCAGACGAGCCTGTTCTGGACGTTCACATAAATGGAGCCATACACGACAGGGCCCTTCGTGCCAGTCCTTTCACCTGGTGGCCTGTCCGTGCGGTTCACCCGTGCGGGAATGGTATCAGTATGAATAACAATATGAATCATGCTAAGACAAACATTCATGCATAAGTTTTTGTCTAGATACATGTTTTCATGGGAACTTGAAATAAACAACGCACCCCAGAGCAAACACACTCTCAGCCGATCTCCGCCGGCGCCTAAGGGTCGGGGGAGGGCTCCGGCCACAGGGCCCCTGCCGGCTGGGCCCCTGCTGGGAAGCGGGCCAGGCTGAGCCCTGCTCAGGGCCGCAGGGCAGCCTGAGGTTCGTGCTGCCGGCCCGCCCCCTCGCGCCCCCTCCCTTCCCCTCCCTTCCCCCTCCCGCCCCCTCCCACCCTCTCCAGCTCTGCTCCGCTCCCAGGTGTCTGCTCTGCAGGCACCTGAAGCCCTTCTCCGGGGCCCTCGGCCGTCGCTCCCTATTGTCCACAGGTGTATCTTCAGTGGCTCTCTTGTATGTCTAATTCCACGTTGCCATCAGCTTTTCAGCTTTTCAGGGACCCAGGCCAACGCAGCCTCACAGAGTGAGGCTGAGCGAAGCCCTGGAGGGGGCGGTGGGGTCAGCCCTGCAGGTCCCGGGGGGCAGGGCACTCTGGGCAGAAGGCAGAGCTCCCGAAGCCCCCGATTCAGAAAGAGGGTTTCCAGCGTGTTCCAGGAGCAGGAGGCCGCCCGCAAGGGAACACGGGGAGCTGAAGGAGAAGAGGGAAGAGGCCAAGCAGGGGCAGGTGGTGGTGGGTCCTTTAGTCTCCCGTGAAGAGTCTGGATTTTACTCTGAGCCGAAGAAAAGTCATTTCAGGTTTTGAACTGAGGAGTAACATGTCCTGCCTTACTCTTCGATATTTTTTACTTATATGGGAGGCAGCAGGTCTTCATAAAAAATGCGGTGCTCAGAAAACACTTATTTTCCAAAGTCTCCATGAGAGTTTAGACTCAGGAATGTGCCCTCCCGTCGTCTGGTTTCACACAGGTTTTCTCGCCGTGGTTCTGCGCGCGCAGCTCGCCCCGGCCCGCGGCTGGCCCCTGGGGCCTTGCGCGAGGTGCGTCCCCAGGTTTTCGCTGCGCTTCCTCTACGGAAAGAAGGCAGGGGAGCAGGCACTTAAAAGGGGGACGAAACCCAATCTTCATGTCACACACCGCTGCTGAGGAAGGGGCCCTCACTCCATAACAGCAAAAGCTCGCTGTGTGGTACACAGCGCCAAACGTGGCCTTTTTGCTATTCGGGCTGAACTGAGAAATAAAAAGCACCTGGTAACTCACTCCGATAACAGTGGGAGGAGGTAGAGAAGGTGCCGACGGTCTACCTGAAGTCCGTGCTTGCGTATATGATCACTAACAAGAAGGGATTCTGCTTTCGCTCCTTCCTCAAATCCACCTACATGATTAACTAGGGAAATCATGCAATTCTATGTTTTTGCTCTAAATGAAATAGTAGAAATTTAAGTCTGGTCTGGGAGGAGGGGTTCCCCCGGGCACGGTGACGTCTGCGGCAGGTCCCCGCTGCGCAGCAGCGTCCAGCTTCTCCCACGCAAGCGGACTGGACGCCCCGCTCTGCGGCCAGGAAGCGGCTGGGCGGTGGTGACGGGACTGGGGGTCAGCGTGTCCGTCGTGAGGGGCGCGCACCGCCAGTCTATAGCGGAATCTCAAGTTACCGTTTGTGCGAGAGAGGGATCAGGCTTAACATTTTCCAGTATTATATCCAGGTTTTCTGGCACCCTTTTATCACAAAGACTCATTTCTTTTACTGAATTGCTGTAGTGACTTGGTCCTAAATCAAGCAATTGTGTGTGTGTGTGCCTGTGTGTGTGTTTTATATCTATACACGCACGTTTCTGGGTTCTCTACTTTGTTACATTGGTCTATTTTCTTGCCTGAGTAATTTTCTAAAACGGGCATCTGAACAGCAGCATTCAAAATATAACAAAACAAAAATAAAAATAACCACAAACGCCCTCCACTTCTCACTTCCTTCTCTAAGAGCGTTTGTGGGCTCTTCTCTGCCTTCAAAATACAGTGCCACCGCCCCAAGGCCTTTCTCGCCCGATCCAGGCCCCGCACAGCCACAGCCTGGCCCCCAGCTCGGCCCCCGCACGGATCTCCTCGCGGCCAAATCCCTCAGCCCTTGAATTTACCCCCGCTGCCGTCCGCGGAGCCTTTAGGGCCTCTCGCTCCTGCC